GAAGCTTGCAATAGTGCTTCAAAATGGCCCTGACCCCTGGGTGTGTTCTTGACTTGAGCGCTTCGATAAACTCTGGTGTGACGCTGATCGGCCATATCATTGCTGCCCGCAAGGCTGGATGAGTGGAGGAATTCATCGCGAATTGAAGGCCATTCCGGAGTACCTCAGCCGCTCTAGCAGCAGCTAGATCGTCTGGTGATGATTCTGCGGTAGTGGGACGACTCAGCGCTTGAATTTCCACAAGAAAGGCAGACAACAGGGACGGCGGCTTGGGTGTCTCTTCGACAGGTAGGACAATGGCTGCGAAGGGGCCCTTCTTCAACATGTCGGTGACATTGTTTAGTACATAATCCATTCCGCGTACTAATTGGAAGGTTTCAACTAGAACATCCAAGTTGTACGCTCGTGCGTCGGCAAATGCATTGATGACAGTCATTGAAGCTGCGGCAAAAATGGCATGGCAGTTTAGATGGCCGATGTTTGCAACAGCGTGGTTAAGGCTTGTCAATGCTGCACTTTGATGTGCAGAAGCAGCAATGCGAAAGTGTGCCGCCTTAGAAGGGTTGATGTACGCAAGATGATTCGCAGAAAAGGCCAGTATGCTGTGTAAGAGAAAAGGATACTTGAATGCTTCTTGTGGGACAGCGAAGCCCCAGATCTGTTTGACGTGCTCAGTGCCAGGCATAGTTTGGTACGCATGCGCAGTGTAATGATGCGTTAACTCCAGATCTTGCATCCATTCTGTCGTTGAAATACTTCCGGGCACCGAGGATACACATTCTTCCTGGATTGTGCCGGAGCCTAGTGGACTTGCAGCACTCCCATTTGTAGGTGGTGACGCGTTGGTAGTGAGCGGATCATCGGGTGCATGCGCTTGAGTGTTACGTGGAGAAGTAGTATCCGAACGGGGTGGACTCTGGCTTGCACCTCCTAGAAGACTGCACTCGACTCGATATCTAGTACACGCGCCACATGGTCTACTCTCATCACACTATATCTGTGTCAGTATGGGATGACTTGGCGAAGGTTGAGGGTAAGCTACCTTCACGCGTCTTGCTTTACACTGTGTGCATCCTGAGCGACTCTTCTTCGAGCCGAGTCTAGGCATTTACGCGAGATGAAGTTGACGTGTCTGTGAGTGGATGGAAAATGCGGGTTGGCTGGCTGGGCGCAATGAGTGACATGCGGTTCGAGAACGAATGCGAGTGCGGATGTTTGGCGCGCTGATGACATAATCGAGACGGCTGGGAGACGCGTGGTTGGCTCAGCAAGCCGTGTCTCTCATCCCGCTACTTCCTTAGTCTGCGTCCTAATTCCTGCCTTAGGCTTAGGGTGCGCCCGCGAGGAAGCTTGGAACAATAAGCTGTAAGCCTTGATTAACACACTTTACCCCTCCATAATATTCGAGTAGCACGAAAGATGTCTTCATACATCCCTGGACTAGCACAACAACATTTGAGGTCTATTGCCGGTTGGACCTGCGCAAGACCTGATCACTCAGTTGGGCGTTGGTCGTTTCTATCTTTATAGTATGCTCAGGTATACCTTGAATTCATCCCGCACACTTTCAAGGTTACCGCCAGCTACAATAGATAGACTCTCTGCCAACGCAATTCGATCTTTTACCGAGCACGAGCGAGAGTGCATACGGACGGAATCTGATTCGCCTCACTACCAGTCTGACTTCGCGACTATCACGCGAAACGGCCTAAGAGACCCAAGATGCATTGCCAAGACAGAGGTGTAACGGAGCATGGAGTTGCGACGCTCTGTATATGACTACGATCTTCTAACGAACCGAAAACTTCGGTCTGAGCCGAACAACCTAACAATGTCGAGTCCAATTACATTCATTGATATCGATACCACGAGAGCCGACCTAGCCATTGGGTGAATGAACATACTGTTCCGCATTTTGTGGTAGCAATGATAGTGAATGTGATTATCTCACAAAAGGTGGTAAGGCAAGTGTTTTGTTCCATTCTAGCCTTCATTCACTATCTTCTGTAGATTTGAAAATACACCTAGGTTTGGTAAGCTCTAGTCTACTTACTCACTTGAGAAAACAATGCGTGTTGCCCGCGCGCCTCCTGTACCTCAACTCTCTCACTATCGCAGGAAAAAGACAAGAAATGGGGTTCCTTTCACACCACGAGTCGCAAAATTTAAATAAGCGTTCGACTGAAGTGTGTCGCCCGCGTTCAGCGATCACCGCGATGGCCGCAATATCATCTCGGTTCAACCCATTAAGAAAGCTGCGTGTAACATCGCCTCCCAGAAACGATCCCGCCATCGGCTTTCCAGAAGACCACCAGTTCAATCGACGACTTCAGGAAGGCTCGGAAGGGTATGTTGAGCAGTGGACTCACACAGCATCGAAAACTATAATTGCGGTAAAGGTCGTCCGACACAATCATCCCTACCCCAACGAAGTCCGCATTCTCCAACACTTACCATCGCATAAATCCATCGTAGGTTATCTCGGATATTGCAAGAGACAACCATATGCGGAAAAGACATCGATATTACTTGAATACTGCTCAGAAGGCGATCTTTTTACAGTAAGAGCACTAGCTGCTGACAAAGGTCGTATGGTATTTTCAGAAGCCTTCATGTGGTCGGTGTACAGCCAGTTGATGAACGCCATCGCGTTTCTTCATGAAGGAATCGATGATCAGCATCGGAGAGGTCGTGATGAGTGGAGGCCAATCGTGCATCGAGACGTCAAGTTCGAGAACGTACTCGTAAAGAACTTAGGCTTCAAGGATGACTGGTCAGACATTGAGGTCAAGCTAGGTAATAGTCTCCATATACGCATTGCGCGTGAAGGCATACACTGACTCTGTACATCGATGTTCTAGGCGACTTTGGAATGGCTGGTTACTATGATCCAAAAAATCCTAATCCTCGAGGGCATATTGGCACAACTCACTACTGGCCGCCGGAAGTCACTTGGGAGAATAAGCGTCTGGGTCCAGCAAGTGATGTATGGAGTGCTGCAACCATTATCCATGAACTTGCTCATAACTTTGGACCGCTCGTTGACCCCAAAGTCATCGAGAAGAAATGGTTTCTGCAGAATGACAAAGCACCGTACTTGGATTCCTGGCCGGATAATCTTAAGAAGAACTACTGGTCAAGTAAAGCGCCGCGGAGACCTATACCAATCAATATCGAACCCGGTGCTCCAATCCCAATCTTGGCCGACGAAGATCTTGGATACGACAAACAAGCGCTCGCATTCCGTCAATGTAGACCAAGCCCAAAGTACTCTGCTGCCTTGAGTGACTGTATGATGGCAGGGTTAGCGATGTCTCCAGGAGAACGACCAGAGTCTGGGCAATTGTTAAGGGAAATTGAGACAGCACATGCGGAAGTTCTGTTCCAGGATTTATGCTTGGCACACAAGCGCGAGACAACCAATGCAGAAGATGAGGATATAAGAGAAGACGTTACAGAGAGCGATCACTAATGTGATACCGGGTACAAAGTAGGACTTTCAACATGGTCGCCGAACTTCGATTCTCCAACCGCAGTTTTTTGTTTACAGTAAATCTGGCGCTAGGTTTTTTCCCTGCATAAAGGGGCTCGCGGAAAGGATGAGAAGGCAAGTAACAATGAAAGGCGCACGGGTATGTGAAGAGGTCTTGGTCTATCCTATACTTTTGTGGCTTTGTAGCTCAACACTAGTGTAAGTCCATTGCTGAAGCGATAGAATAAAGCCAGGAGAACAGCAGGCCAGCAGTGAGGGCTCGAGAATGCAATTCTTGCGGAAGTATGGTAATGTATGTGATTACGATCATCATGAAGGTAGCTGGGAAGATGGCCGTATTTACGAAGAAATTCGACCGTTGCGCGTTAGCGCTTACATCTTGTCGCTCTCTGAATGCATTTTCTTCCGTATGTACATGTGAAAAGATGCTATACCACCGAGCGAAATTACCATCCTTTTGTCGTTATGAGGTGCTTCGTAAAAGTTGACGCTAAAATTGCTTCTGAGCGTGATAAATCGCGCCACATTGATGCTGAAAGGATAACATTTTAGTACAAAACTACTCTAACACATGCGTGGCGCGATCTATTTACGATAATGGACCTGTAATCTGCTTAGGAAGAGGGCTGCGTGGGCGGGAGCGTCCGGATACGCCGATCGGCGGTTCTTCGCTTCTGTGGTGCGGCTTCATCTCCGCTGCGCACCGAAGCAATCATTCTGTGTCCAACAAGCCGCCACGTTTATGCGGTATGCTATCTCAACCATATTTGTGGTTTCTTGCGCATATGAGAAGTGCGTTGACGTCGCGACGACAAGGTATCGTTTCATGTTCACAAAAGCATTACCATGGATTGTTAGAAGGCGTTGAAGGCTATCGTATCTCTATTCAGCTACAGCCAGCCACGTACTTTGTTGAGGTGAGATAGAACGTTATCGACTGCGCTAGCAGCTCCTATCTTAGACCCGACGTCAGCAACTGCCGTAGCAATGGCAATGTCGCTACACGTAATGGCATGCGGCTGACGATCGACCGATGTGTGTGCCAATGTCCCGCGATCGTCCTGTTGTCATGGAGTGGTTGTCTCCTATAGATTGAAAACTCGCAAGATGATAGTGAGCGACATGCATCGTCTGTTACGACTAAGGTTTGCTGTCGGAAGGGCAGGTCGGATGTGACGTGCAGCCTCACCCAAACTGACCACAAGGAATACCAAAAGCAATGGGCTTGGGGTCTGTGCTGTTGACCAGATCTTCTGCAACGGAGGCTTAGCTAGTCTACAACACATGGATCGGCCATGTACCCTTCAGCTGAACGACAGGGTTTGAAGTCAGAGACGCGCATTGCTCAAGACCTCGGCGCAATGGCACAATTTGATTAGAAAGTTACATCTCTCCCCGTACAAACGTTGTCGTCCTGCTGCCATTCCATTCCTTTAACCGCCCGTTGGCTCGTAGATTTTGCGATAACGTGATCGCTGTCGCTTCACCAACGACCCCTCGTCCAAAGATGCTCGCCACACAACGTTCATATGTCCTGGCCATTGCCACTTTCCTGGTAGTCGCGACACTGTCATTCTACGTGTTCCGCGACCAAGGCGCATTAGTGGTTGAAAGAATCACAAACCCGCCATACCTGTAGGTTGACCCAAAATCCTGAGATGGTACCTGTTCACCAACACTCAGCGCAGATCATCGAAACCTACCATTCGAGACACAATCAACACATTGTTTGCCAGAATAAAACACGATCCAAATGCTTCTGCATACGTCGATCCGTCAGGCACATACTACAAAGGTGGAAACGAGACAGTCTGGACAAGACCCCTCGGCAAGAAAGTCTTGATTGTGGATATCGACACGCGTGTGCCAACTGGGGAGAATGAGCTTCTCAATCCAGAACGCTTAGACTGGGAGAATCTTAAGACATCCGGAGCCGGTATGGTGTCCAACTCCATCATGAATCACTACCTGTATGCCATGGTCCATGGATATGACTACAAATTCTACCAGGCGCGGGACATGAAGGATCATTACAACACCTGGATCTTACCCCATGTTCTCCGCGAGTTGATACCTGGTTATCAGTTCGTGGTCGTAATGGATGCCGACGTTACAATCCCACACCTTGACGTTCCATTCGAGTGGATGTTCAACCGCTGGGGTATCAAAGAGCACACGTCCATAGCCCTTCCGTGGGATACTGAAGAATTCCGCGACGAAGGCTCTATCAGCATAGATAGCAAGGGGATGCGCGTCCTCAACACAGGTCTGGTTGTCGCGCAGAATTCTTCTTTGACGCTGGATTTGCTCGAAGCGTGGCGGGACTGCACGACTGAGAAACGCTACAAAGGCTGCGCCAAGTGGAAGACCGAATGGAGCCACGAACAACGCGCCTTCTCAGAATACATTCGTTACGATTTCAACAAGACGCCTGAAACGATCGTTAGCATACCCTGTGACGATGCAGTAGGGTGGCCGGGCTTCCGCGAGGATATGCTAAATCGACCCGGTACCGAGAATCACGATATCTCCAATTGCAATGGGAACTTCGTTCGGCACTACACAACCATGGGGAAGAGTCGAGTCAAGGATGCGAGTGCAGCCAGTGTGATGCAGGTGTTGAGCGAGGCGCTTCAGAAGAGTATTTTAGCAAACCCGGAAGAAGTGTGGTACAAGGAACCAGAGAAAAAGATCGAAGAGCCAGTACCGAAAGATCAACCAACAGAGGTGCGGAAAGATGAGGAGAGTAAATTGGACAACGATGTGGTTTTGATAGAAAGAGAAGCATGATGAGGCAGGGTCTTTCGATGATATTCGAGTTGCATTGGATCGGCGTTTTAGATACCACTGAATTGAGTTCATATCGGAAAGGTATATTTTGAAGCTATTTGAGCGATGTTAGTACTGACAGTACCATGAGACAGCTGTTTTCGTGCAATGTTCGTGTACCATCAGTGCTCTCTTTCACTCGCGCATCGAATCTAAAACCTGCCACAACCCAATGCACCCGGGCTAGCAAATGCAAACCACATGGCTCACCAAGGAAGAGCAGTATCGAAGATTCTCGGTTCAAGTATAGTTTGGTATCATCATTTGGGTAGGAATGGATTGGAAAGCAAAGTAAACATGACGTACCTTAGTCCCGCGCACGCTTTGCTTTTACGCGTGCTTGACAAAATCGCTGCTAGCGTGTCATTTGGCAAGATACTTGATGTGATGATAGGTAAGATGCTTGGTGAGTTTGACGCGTCGATGGTATTACTAGCAGAAGGCTGGACGCGAGCGAAAGATGCAACAGGGCTTAGCCGAGTGCTTATGTCAGCTAGCGTAATTGGTCTCCTTGGGGCCCCGCCTGTGCTAAGCTATTGTTCTCGTGCCATTGCGCGCCGAATGTTGACATTTCCAAAAATCTAGCGTATCTATTTACAAGATCTCCTCAGGAGTGACAACAACCCAGTTCTTGTCTGCCGTAACTTCTCTACCGTTAGCAATCTGCGCCTGGGTGTTGTTCCTAATTTCCTCCTGCAATTGCTCGAAGTAGGCGTCCCGACGATTGATCCACAGGTGCACACCTCCCTTCGCTACATCTACGCCGTGGAACTGCATGTACGAATCGCTACCGGGAGTGTCACCACCAGCCAAGACAGGACGTTTCCATTGATCGATGTAAGTGAGAATAGCGGCCCATTTACCGGCGAACCATGTGGCAGGGGTCCAGAGGTACGGAGTCACGACCAGATCGAGATTGGCCGTCTCATTGTACGTGCCTTCAGCAATCTGCTTACGTGCGTTCGTGAGCGCACCGGAAGTAGTGTTCTTCAAAACGGTGGTGACGCCAATGACGTTCTGAGGTGGGACGTTGTATCCGTACTTCGGGTCGCTGGCGACCATGCGTACAAGCTCCTCATGGGCAGCGCTTATAACGTAGACGGCGATGCCGTTGTCCATAAGAGCGTTGTAAAGTTCGGCCTGGCCTCGGAAAACCTTTGGCGGGTTAACGCTGGTGGATGTCACCTCATCGCCGTCCCAGTACTTTGCCGGGATCGTTGAGTTGTACGCCATGAGCTCATCCACGTAAGTCTTAAGTTCGCGCAGCGTGAAGCCAGACCAGACCTGCGCCACCCAGGGATAGCAGATGAAATCATCGATCTCACATAGACGGTTGTAGTAGCTGTACAACGATTCGGTGAAGTTGGCCGTATCCTTGAAGTCAACCAACTTGAGGCTGGGGTCCAGGTTGTCGCGTGTCAGGATGCCACGGTTCTCAAGGAAGGGAAGGAGCGATTCTTCAAGATCATAGCGATAACTGGTGTTGTCCATGTCGAAGACTGCATAGTTGCTCTGATTCGCGTTCTTTGTGATCATGTTGGAGAGAGCTGTCGCAGCTTCTTCGGGCCAGTGCTTGAATTGGATCTTTGGAGGAGCACCATACTGCGGTGTAGCTGAGCTGAGCGAAGTTGCGAATGCAAGCCATGTGGCTGCCGTGAGGGGAGCTGTCGACCACATTTTCTTTCTATCACCAGCTCTTCAGCACTCAAAAAGAATCGACGAGGACAGGAAGCGAACGAGCGAGGATACAGAACCAAATCGTCGGGGATGCTGGGATCCCACAAGAAATAGTCCGGGGCTGAGGTACGCGAACCCTGCCACGCGAATACTGCCGACGTGAACCACCGAGATAACGGTCCCACACTTACGATTCAAGGTCGGGCCTACCTTGAAGAAAATCATGAATTCAATGGTTGCGCTATCATCAATTGAGTGCTTTGCGCGTTGCCTGAACTAGTAATTGCTCGCATGCGCATATGTACGATGACGTAGGTGAAGCTCCCTCAACAGAGTAAGTGTACGGCTTTTCCGTGCCGCGCCTTTTCTCTGTTGAAATTAGTCGTAAATCCAGTACATACTGGCCTTCTTCTGGTTGCCATTCCAACCATATTACACTCATATCATGCAAGTATTCATTGCGCGCTCTCGAAGATTCGATTGGTTGGTATTGTATTATTGTTATCGAGTTCCTGAATCGAATATGATGTGTCATGCCCTTCCTGCTCATTGCAGTACTTTGTCTCCTTCTACTTTTAACCCAGGATCGCGGCAGCCTTGTAGATCTGGTATGCAGATAGCCCGAAACCAATTGCCCAAAAGCTGCTCCTGATAAAGCTCTTCGAGTGGTCGGCAATCTGTACATATGAAACAGCGTACGCCGCCCTGATTGCGAAGAAAGCTGATACGAATGTTGTCAAGCCTGTTGCATCGCCTGAGACGACCTCCCGTCCGATTCCAGTTGCAGTGGTGCGCTCGGCGATGATGCTGGCGATGACGGCAACAGCGAAGAGGGGCAGTTGCTCAATGTTGTTGGACTGGGCATTCTCGGCACGCTGGTACTTCTGGAAGCTGCACATGCGTTAGTGCAATTCGAGGAAGAGGCCTCGAAGTAACGAGCTCGGGCAAGTCTTACACGGCATCGGGAACCTTGCCCTTCACGGCATCTGGTGACAACGAAGCCTTGGGGTTTGCATTGTTGACCTTGTAGCCATTGGCGGAGAGGATGCTACCAGCGTACATGTGCGGGACGAGAGAGAAGACATAGTAGGCCGGGATGGCGAGCAGTGGGTAGTTGAGCGAGTTGGACGACATTTTTGCAGTTTTGAATGTGGCCGTCTCGACGTGTCGTTGAATTGATTATGTGAGAGCGAATAGGTGGTTGTTGGTACGGCGTATATTGGGGTAGGCGCGGTGTATATTGTTGTGGATTAAGCGTTGACGTAGCCATGAAATGCGCTCAGGGTCCAGCAACCATGACGCGTATGTTCACGCTAACCACTGACATGAGGTGCTCAAACATCTCAACTTTCCCCATAATTTTGCAGAGTCTATCTGAGTTGCAGCCGTCCCAGGCGATGTTGTAGGTGACTCTCAGCATGGAACAAAGTTGACGCGCCTGCCGTTCGGTCCTTTCGAGGTCGATCAGCTTACTCACCTGCACAGCCAAACATCCCAGTCTCAGTGCGTTTCTACTAACTCGTGCACCAGCAAAACAGCCAACATCTCATAGAAGACACGTACACTCTGGAATTAGACACCGAGACATTTCTGAGCTCGTGGACTATGGTTTGCGAACATTAGCGCAGTGCAGCTGGTTAGCTGTCGCCATTACGCACTCCTGGCAACATTCATGACATCCTCCTCTAAATGCAGTCCCCTGAAGTGTGTTAACACATCCGGTAGCTTCTTCTTAGTCCCATCAACCACAGGATCCCTCCTCTCCCTAGCCGCAACCCCAATCATGAAATCCTCCTCAAAAGCTTGAATCTCTACCCTTGTATCCTCCAACCTCCTGGACTCTCCTTTCTTCAAACCCCTTATACCCGCAGGTCCCTTCCCCTCTCCCTTCATCGAGAACCAAATCTCCGCATCGCTGTATCTTTCACCCCAGGTACCGTGTGTACTACACCGGGCCGGAGTCCCCGGCCTCGGTGCACGAACATGTTTAAATTCTAATTGTGGAATCCACTGAGCGAGCAAAGCCTCTCCATCGAGCTTGATGTAGGCCTCTTTGAAGCACCAGAACGTGTAAAACCGTCTTAGTTTCGCATCAATGAGTAGGTCCGAATCAAGCTCCCTCTGCTCCCCGTTCGGTAGTGTAACACTCAAATGCTCGTTTCGATGACAACAACGATCGTGTCTTCCTAGAATCTCATGTGTGACCATTGTGCCATCGAGAAGAGGAAATGGATCGACGTTGTACTTGATATCGAAACACTCTTCTGTGCTGAAGATTTCAGCGTACATGTCTACCCAGCCGTCGAAGCCTTCTTCGTCAACAACGCGATAATCGTTCCGCTCGTTTACGCAGACTATGTCTACGCCAACTTCGGCATCGAGTTCATGGGTTGAGCAGCCTACGAGGGCGACTAGACCGGCTTGATGACTGACGTTGAATTCTACGGGCGCAGGGCCATATTGGGGTGGTATTAGTAGGGCGATTGGTTTCCCATGTTTGGGATCGCGTCTTCGGCCGAACAAGATGTCTTTCCAAGGGACGTTCAGAGTTTTGTGAACAAAAAGACGTTTCAGGAGGGCGGATCCCAGGCTCATTCGCGCATCCGCTACGTGGTATTTGCGTTTTATGAGGTCTTGTTCTTCCTGGCTGATGAGCGAGAGTGCTTCCCGGGCCTGACATTTGTCAGTTGATAGACATGATGCGATGGCATGGACATACGGATTCTGAATCTGTAATCTTCTCTCCAGGCCATATTGATCTTGTATCCAGCAGCCAGCACGTGAGACCGTGTCCCGTTGAGCCTCCATCCTGTTTGTCGATCATAGCGCCTTCACCTGAACCCTCTAGACTGTAATCGAGTTGCGCGCCGGCTAAAGTAGTTTGACGCGTAAGACTAGACTACTACAAGGACTCTGGCCTTATATGCACCGTGGGACCCTTTGTTTGTGGTTCTCTTGACGTGATGTGCGACAAACGGAGATCTACATGTCATGGCCGTTCACGGGATCAGTGGGGAACCCGAAATGTCGATGATGGAGAGCAGATCGAAGGGTGGCACCTCCTCGGGGTAAGCGATCGAGCAGGGCTGAGCGTGTCTGAGTGACATGTGCCCGGCGGGCAAGTTACCGCTTACAGTGGGGATGAAGCTTATCGATAAAGATTTAGCATTTGCCGTCGCTTTCCGTGATATGACTGTATATTTTCTAGACGTTCCAATTCATTATTTCTTTGCTGTAACGGAGTTCTTTTGGTGTCTGTTCGTAATTCACAATGACGGTCAAAGAAGGAAACACAGAGATAACGGTCGGCGTCCTCGCCCTCCAAGGCGCTTTCAGCGAGCACATTCAACTCCTTCGCGCGGCATCCTCGAACATCCCCTCGTCACCAACCTTCCACTTGATCGAAGTCCGGACACCTGCCCAACTCGCACAATGCGACGGTCTCATCATCCCTGGTGGCGAAAGTACAACCATGTCCCTCGTAGCCGCACGTAGCGCCCTTCTCGAGCCCCTCCGCGACTTTGTCAAGGTCCAACGCAAACCAACGTGGGGTACATGCGCCGGCCTCATCTTACTAGCAGAGAGTGCGAATAGAACAAAGAAAGGAGGTCAAGACTTGATTGGAGGCCTAGACGTGAGAGTGAACAGAAACCATTTCGGGCGACAACAAGAGAGTTTCCAGGCAAACCTACAGCTGCCATTCTTAGAGTCGACCAGCAAGACAAGCGCGATCGACCCGTACCGATGCGTCTTCATCCGCGCGCCAGTTGTAGAGAAGATACTTCCGAGTAAGAAGGCGGTAGGCATACAAGAAGGGGAGAGTGAGAGGGACGATACAATTGTTGCGCCGAGTAAGACACCAGCGGATGATTTGGCAAGGAAGGAGTTGGATCGCGAGGTCGAGATCATGGCAACGCTGTCGACCAACGCCCAGCCGTTGCAGGAGAACCAGGAACACAATCACCCAGGTGCGGAGGACATAATAGCGGTACGGCAGGGCAACGTGTTTGGGTGTAGCTTCCACCCAGAACTGACCGACGACCCGCGGATACATGTTTGGTGGTTGGGAGAGGTTATGAAAGCTGCGGAGAGGCGAAAGCAGTTTGAACTTGCGGATCGAACTAAATGAGATGTAGGTGGTGCCAGATGGCACTTCAATTAGGGCACATGCCCAGACAGCAATTCTTGTAGAACATGTGACAGGGCGTTTGGAAGATGGTAGTAAGTCTTGGGAAGGTATCTAAACTGGTATCTCTCCTCCCTGTAAGCATTCGCTTATGACTAAAGAATTAATGAGCAATGCCGAATAATAGACGCCAGACGCCTCCTGTGCAGTATTTTGAGATCTGATGAAGACTAGGCTGATCGACTGCTTCCTCAGCTACCAGGTAATGATGCCCATCCTCCCTCCGTCTCAAATATGGGCGAGTAGAACTCGGGCTGTTGGATCTCGATGGCGAACCTACTGCGCTTCGTGATATTCGTCCACAGCTCTGCCGTAACCACCCCGACCAGGGTCATACTCGGCCCTGTACTCGTCGCGCACCTGACCACCGCTCTTTCCACGTCCATATTGCCTGCCCTCGGCGAAACCCTCGTCCAAGTCGGTCCTGATGACACGTTCATCAAGCTTAGTGCCGCCAATGTACTTCATACAATCTAGCGCATCCTGATGTGTGTAGTACTCGACGAAGCAGAAACCGCATGGCGTCTTCTGAAATCGGTCGAGACCCATAACCAATCGTTTGATCTCTCCGCATTTGCTGAATAGCTCGTGGATTTGTTCTTCGGTAGTGTAGAAGGATAGGTTGCCAACGTAGAGGGTAGTTGCGTCCTTGAGCTTGTCCTCGGGCGACGGTGAGCGGCCACGTTCTTCGTCACGTGTGTTGCGATCGCGTCTGCGCTTCTAGAGGAAAGTCAGCCTTGTTGTGCTTGTCTAGTGTCTTGTAGCCTGCTGTACCTTTGCTGTCGCATATGAACTCGGCTTGTCGAGGCGGTCAATGGTACTTCGAAGCGCCGGCATGATGGCGTACTCTCTATCCCAGTTCCGAATGGAAATACGTTAAGCGACCGTATCCGGAGCGTTCAGAAGTTATCGAGCGTGGTTGTGGAGCGAGTGTAAGGTTCGGAAGTGGAAAGTTGAGCTCGGAGCTCCCCAGACGCGTCGGCCTTGGCGCAGTATCGCGCGGCTGGAACTTTTGTTTGTCCAGAGACTCTTACCTTTACAGACCACCCGACTATTACCTACCCACATTCCGAATCTCTCAATCTTGCTCGGGGCAGCTCTCTACGATGCCAAAAGTACTGGGTTACACGCCGGACTGGCTCAGTCGGCCAAACCCAGGCTACCATCTGTTTGCGCCGAAGCAGACCAACGGAAGTGGAGTCGCTGCAAAGAAACAGGAACCTGGACCACGAAAGACGATTGCGACCCGGGGCTCCGAAATCTTCGTCGCCGTCGGGAACGAAATACGATGGGCGGATTTGGTCAATCTCAAGGAAGAACAACAGCCCGCATACCGAACACTACGAGTCTCGATACCTCTACCAATCACGCGTCTTGCCATTTCTCCCGAGGAAGACTACCTTGCCGTCTCCACCTCGCATACCGTACACGTAATACACCTTCCCGACTCGTCGTTGCTTGGAGCCGGCGAGGACGACGGCCCTTTGAAGCCAAAGACGTTCCAGTTGGGACCAACTGTGCATGTGCTGGAAGAGTCGCCCGTTGCAACAACGCTATGGCATCCTTTGGGCTACCATGGACGCTGTCTGCTCACCGTCACAAAGGCGGGAGTAGTTCGGCTGTGGGAGATCAACCGCGCCGACAGGTCTACCTTCAGTGAGCCGTCGCTCTCCATCGATCTACCCAAACTCGCAAATGCTACAAGCGATCAGGACGATCTGAGCGCCTCCAAATTCGGAGCTTCCAAAGGTTTCTCTCCCGACTCGGTGGAGTTGGAAGTTGCATCTGCATGCTTTGGCGACTTTCCAGACCAAGAAGGTGTCCATGGCTGGGCGCCAATGACGTTGTGGATTGCCACTGTGCTCGGAGATGTATACGCCCTTTGCCCTTTGCTACCGAGCAAATGGCAGCTGATCGAATCACCCGGCAGCCACACCTTTCTTCAGACCCTGACCTCATCCATCAACATCGCTTACGCTGAGCTGTCCGAGGATGATACGTCGCCCAAGCACGAACTGAAGACATCGGAGAAGCAGGTCTCATGGCTATCCGACATCATATACGAGGAACCTCTTGTAGAGGAACGGCCACAGGGTGACACAGTGCAGGTCTTCGCTCGCCCTCAAAGCGCGCCTGCGGTGCCGTTGCTACAGGGGCCTTTCACCATCTCGCCCGAAGTAGACGATTTTGAGCTCAGCGACATGATCGTCTTCTCCCTCAAGACCCTTTCGGAAAGCGAAGAGGACGAGGCTGCAGAAGGTCTTCCTACTGCTGTTGTGTGCTTGCTCACAGACACGAGCAAGGTACATGTCTGCCTAGACCTTGAGGGTATCATTGGACGATGGCTACCATCTCCGGAAGACGAAATCGATGCCATAATAACCACCGATCATGAGTTGATTATCGCGGAAACCGTCACATTGGTGGAAGGCGACGATCCTTCATTCAACCAAAGCATCACGCCGGATGTGCATACCGACTTCTCATTCTTTGTATCCCATGCCAGTGGAGTTTTCTACGTTTCCATGGAGCCTTGGGTCAGGAAGCTTGAGACGGAACTCTCCCAGCCGCAGACTGAGGGCTCGCCTTTCCGTATCAAGCGTATACTGGAATCGGCGAACACCGCTGTAGACCAATACCTACAGCGACGCGTATCCGGCGACGTGGCGGAACAGGAAGTGACCGCAGTTGCTGTCATTGAAGATGGAAACGTCGGCTACCTTCTTCTTACCACTGTAGACGGTGAGCCTCAGGCTGCCCTACTTGATGCGCCTGAAGACGGTCTCCCTACCCAGGAAGAGCTTGCTGAATACATGGCAATCACCGGTCCTACCAAGGAAGTACGTCAGGCGTGGCAGCCATCAAAGGAACTCTACGAGCCGTTTGATCTCTATGGATCTATCAACATTCCCGCGCGACACAGAGGCGCTCTTAAAGATGAAATTAGGTTATCTCCTGCAAACTTGGGGCTCCTCATGGATGTCCATCGCGTACTCTCTGCACAGACGTCTAAACTCCAGCTCGCTGTATCCGATCTGTTCAACCGCGCGACACGACTTCAGGAAGAGTTCAGGGATCAAATATACAGGACGTCTGAGATTGCAACGAACATCGACAGCGTCACTGGTAATGACCAAGCTGGCTCAGAGAACGGATCAACATACGGAAACGCCAACATAGACGACCGCATGGAGAAGGCTATAGCGCGACAAGATCGCATCAACGCTCGCTACGAAGCCCTTCGACGGAAGATGGTCAGCATCGGCTCCAGTGAGCTCAGCGAAAAAGAGAGCAACTGGATTGAAGAGTTACAGACTATGGACAGCGCCATTGACCCCTCGAGCGAGACGTTGACTGACAATGTTGACGGTAGCGAACGCCCCGCCTGGCAACGTCTCGATAGGATCAAGGAGGTACACAAGGAGCAGGCGAAACAGATCGAAGCTGCCATGCAGAACGCCAAACAAAGAAGCGAAAGTGAACAAGCAAGAGGTACTGGTGTCAAAGTACCAAGTCATTCAAGGAAGGCAGAAAACGAGCAGGTACAGGAGTTGATACAGCGGAACGACTTCTTAGTAGAGGCTGCTGTGGATAGGCTGAGAAGTCTGGGAATCAACGTACCTGTTGAAGGCGGGAATTAGGTGTGTAGGAAGTGTGACGTTCACACGTTGTTGTTGAAAGTTCAGGTTCTTGGGTATGGTCGCATGATGAAGAGATTATAGAATGAATGTCTTATAGTTTTGGTATGACTATCAACGTAGCGATATTTGTGCTCATCGACTTGCATATCATGAAATTTACGAGCTTGAATCATCCCCACGTCCCAAGGGCGAGAGAAGGATGTGGCAGGCTAAAAAGTGTAGTGTCAGCTCACCTCACATATACACCCCGCTCATGATCTCCATGCATCCTCTTCAGTTGTGGCGTATACCATGTAAGCTTTGAAATGGTATGACATCGCCGTAATTCTCGTAGCGGAAATTGATTTAATAGTCCATTTCGCCTGCTGTGCCTGCATGATTACTCTCGTTTCCTGTAAATGGGGCGCCCTTGCTTCCAGCCACCTGTGGGGAGGGATGAAGTCGAGCCTGCCAAGCGAGAAGAACAATATTAAGCCAAAAGAGTATACAATTCGCATTTATCGAAGTCGGCTCGGGCCAGCAACACCAAGGCCATGCATGTAACAATAAAAACATCAAAGTGCAGCATTCCCCAATCTTCCAGCTCCAGTTCTCTTTGTTGGCTCCTTTCATGTGAGCTTCTACAATCGGAGTGGGATTTTGGGACGGACTGCCCGTGATGACTAACAACAAAGCGAGACGACGAATACCAGGCGAACAAACAGAACATGGACAGGGCATCAAGTTCGACACCCTCTACGACAATGACTATGTCGTGGGAAACAAGCTCACAGATGAGAAGAGAGCAGAGCTCAACAAGAATGCTGCCGAGATCAACGAAGCGTACGAGACTGTTTCATACCAACTAACTCAAACAACGAAGCGCTCAGGTATACTAATGCTCTGTCAGCTACTTTGACTTCATTACCGACGCCTTTCAGAACGGATGGGGCAACAAATTCCACTTCAGCGGCTATCAACCCGGTGAATCCTGGGCCACAGCCGCAGCCCGCCACGAACACTACCTAGCACTCATTATGGAATTCAAACCCGGTATGAAGGTTCTCGATCTAGGTTGTGGTGTCGGTGGTCCCGCACGTGAAATGGCCATCTTTGCTGGAGTCTACGTCACTGGTCTCACGATTAACGACCTACACGTCGAGCGGAGCAACAAGCTGAATAAGCAAGCGAATCTGCAGGACCAAGTACATATGGTCAAAGGCACATTTTCAGACCTTCCATTCGCCGATGAGACGTTTGACATGGTTTTTGCCATCGAAGCGCTCTGCTGTGCACCGGATCAGCATAAAGCGTATACCGAGGCCTTACGAGTGCTGAAACCTGGGGGTAAGATCGGTATCTTGGATTGGGTCATGACTGACAAGTACGATGATTCTAATACAGAACATCGCATGATACGAGGGAGGATTGAAAGAAATGGGGCCGTGCCGCACATGATCACGCCCAAGACTAGGATTGCGGCATTGGTGAAAGCGGGTTTTGAAATGGTTAGCGAAGAGGATCGTGCTACTGCTAAGGCTAATCCGATACCTTGGTGGTAAGTAATCCTCTGCCTTCTTGTTCGACTGAGCGACTTTGGTACTGATGCGATGTGATACAGGCACGCGATCGATTATAAACATTATCCGACGTGGCACGACTGGAGCTACTGTGTGTGGATGACTAGGCCAATTTACTATGCTTCTCGGGTGTTTATCAATACGCTGTATTTCCTGGGTCTCATACCGCGATACGGTGTGACTGCTTCGTACACAGTCGGAGAGTGTGTGTACTCATGCAGAGATGGTGGGAAATTAGGTATCTTCAGCCCGATGCATATGTTCGTGGCTCGTAAGCCTGGGATAGAGAAACCTTGAACAAGTTTTTCGAAGTCTGTAGTGACCAAAGACAGTGTAGACAGAAGAATTGGCCAGTTGTCTTAATCCAATGTGTCTTCTCGTCTTAGCAATTGTATCGGTCTGGGAGATTGCGATGCTGTATGATGTGAGAAGAGAAGATGCTATAGTTAACCCCACGATGATGCCACACAAAAAGAGAGCCCACAACGTCGGCTCGGCTAGCCTAATTTAGTGTCTTCGGCAAACGTACCAGAGCCTCATCGCGTGACCTCATACAACACCATCGAATCCTCACAACCCGAAAACCAACAATCGAAATGCCTTCCAAACCAGCAGTAATATCTGTAATCGGCTCCCTGAATGTCGACCTCGTAACCCGCACACCCCGCGTCCCCACTGGCGGTGAAACCCTGACCAGTGAATCTTTCAACATCGGCTGGGGTGGGAAGGGCGCCAATCAAGCTGTCGCCTGTGCCCGTCTCTCACGCACCAAGGCTCAAGCTTCGTCATCTCATACTTCCGATGTGGAAGTACGTATGGTGGGTGCAGTGGGTGATGATGAGTTTCACGAGGGTTTCCTGAAAGCCTTGCGAGAGGACGGATTATCGACGGAGAAAGTACAGATCTTGAAAGGAAAGAAGACGGGTGTTGCCGTTATCATCGTTGAGACCGGCTCTGGGGAGAACAGGATCATGTTCTGTCCCGGTGCCAATGGGGATGTGAAAGTGCAAGATCTTGTTGATGAGGATGCGGGGGTTGCGCTTTTCCAACTGGAACTGCCATTGGAGGTTGTGTTGCATAATATGAAGACCGCAAGGGAGAAAGGCGTCGAGACTATTATTAACCCAGCGCCTGCGATACCGTTGCCAGATGAGGCTTATCACGGCTTAGGCCACCTCATCGTTAACGAGACTGAAGCTGCGATCTTGTCGGGCATCGAGAAGCCAACTTCGTGGGACGAGGTTGCTGCTGTGTTTATTGCAAGGGGTGTCAAGAATGTTATCATCACGCTTGGTGGCGAGGTAAACCTTTCCTCGTCGTACACTGTGACTTGTACTAACGCGAGTTTAGGGCGTGTTCTACAAGACCGCAAAGCAACAGGAGGCATCTCAGCAAGGTCACATTGTGCCAGCACGTAAAGTCAAGGTTGTCGACACTACAGCCGCTGGTGATACGTTTGCTGGCGCGTATACAGTTGCTGTTGCACGCTGGAAAGCTATGGCGCGAGGAGCAGATTTCGATCTCGATACTGCCATTGCGCATGCTAACAGGGCAGCGTCTATGACGGTGCAGAAAGCAGGTGCGCAGTCCAGTATACCATGGGCCGACGAAGTACCAGAGTCATGATCGTCAAGAAGATCCAAGTTAAGCAAGTAAACTGAGAAATTAGTATCAGATCGGTCGAATCCATCAACTGTCTGTACCTGTGTCAATTCCACCTGCATTTGAGAACCATATCAACACTTCATCTTTGGAACGCTTAGAACATCCACATCTTCCTCATCTCTCCCGCATACACTCCTTCATTCTTCACAAAGTGATTACAATGTGCCGTTCCCTCAAACACAACTTCACTGACATCCCAGCCCTTTTCTCTCGCCGTATCCGCATGCTCAACAACATCTTTCCAATCCGTCATGCGGTCAGTTTTGCTATACAGGTAGCATATTCTCCTCTTCGTGCCCTTTTCCGCTCCACACACGAAGTCCTCATCTAACAGTGTCCGGCGAACCAAGACCTCGGGATACTCGTAGCGGCCCAATGCCACGCTCGCAAATAGGCCAAGGAGGATCCCATGTACGAATACATAGCCAGCCAACCGCAGGATACCTGGCGGTAGTGACAAAACCATGGCGTTGTAGGATTTCCAGTAGTAGCCTGCTGCGGGTCCTGAATCCATGATGATGCCAACCAAAGGCAGGGATGCGGAGGTCTGAGTATGCAAGGCGAGTAGTAGTGCAGTGGCAGAGATTGGACCGCCGTTTGAGAAGGTGTGAAGGAGAATTCTGGGCCCTTGATACTTCTTTGATTGGTGTTCCAATACAGACGCGGCGATACATGCCGGATAAGTGCATTCACCAAGTACCGTACGAACTACTTCGATAGCTGGCATTATAGCTTTGCGTTGCGTAGGATAAGAGCTTGTTACCGTTGCCACATCGCTTTGGATAAGCAGGATCTTGGCGTTGGGAGCAATAGTACGGTAGGACGTGATGTACTTGTCGATATGCTTCCGTGCAGCACCAAGCCATGTGCACAAAATGATAAGCTCGCCGGGGTTGTATGCTGGTGGAGTGTAAAGTGATATGCTTGGGCCGAGTTTGGAGAAGGATGGCGGCGGTGGTGTGGGCGCAGGACGCGTTGCTTTCGAGGCGGTGGACATGTTACTCAACAATGGGCTATGCATGAAGGTCCATCAACTTTCTTGATGAATTTATTTCTTTACACACGTTCACTAATCCGCGAAATCCTCCCGAGGCTTGTAACAGCGCGCCTTGTATCCGTAAAAGCCGGTGCCTTGAGTGTAAGCATGCACGGTTAGGCGTACATGAGCTGCTAACGAGGTTGGGCTGACCTTGCGAGCTCGCGTGGGAACGCAATTGGTCTAGCATGGCTTGGGAGAATCTCTAAATGGCTATAAGTGCGACCTCTCAATTCTGGGCTCACAGATAGGCCAATCTTGTTACAACAAGGACATGGTTCGACGTGTTTGAAAGAACTTCGGCTCGTACCCTTACATCAAGCCGTAGTCGTTGTCGTCCATGGGTAACGGTTCGACCATACTGAGTTCACCGAACTCACTACTGACTTCTTCAGCGTCGTAGTCATAATCATCAAAGTCATCTTGATGTTCATCGCCGGTGCTTTTATCTTTGGTAGTATCGCATCCTTCCAGGACAAGGACTTCAGTAACAGCGACGTCAGTGCCGTTTTTCTTTAAGCGAACGGCCGAGTTCTCCGTGTTGGGATGGTCGTGTGAGTCTGGCAGCAATGTCGTAGAGTTAGGAATGCTTTTAGAGCTGTCCAGAAAGGGCTCGTTAGATAAACTCGATGCTGATGCATTGAAGTTTGGAGAAAGACCCTCTTGTGTACCAGAGGGTGTGAGAGATAAACCAGACAGTTCGGAGTTGCTTTTGGGAGCAGCTGCAGGTTCTGGCTCTGAGAAATCTATCAGAGAGTTCGAAGAGTCTTGAGTAGTTGGGGCTGGCCGGTGTTGAGGCTGGGGAATAGGCTTCTGCGTTTGCTCATTTGCTGCTTTGCGTTTAGCCTCCTTTTGGGCTCGAGCCTTTCGCTTTTCTGCCTCCTCAAGAGCGCGTTCTTGTTCAGCCACCTTGTTGAAATCCACATCACCAAAACCAAGTTTAACCATTATCGTACCCGCCAAGTACCGGTACCTGTCATGTCCACTGACAAGCTTGCTCACATCAACGTTCTCTACACCATGAACGCTCTCGACTTCCTGTAGACCTGCCACACCTACTTGCAGTTTCGCTGACCGATAGAGGAAGCCGAGTACGTAGTCTTCCTTGCTGTAGACATTGACAATACGCCCTGCAACGACCGATCGTATTTGCCTCCAGCGTTTGGGGTTTGCTGGTGCAGGAGTACCCATAAGAACAGCGGATTCGACGAGACCAAATGCGTGTTGTTCCGCAAGCTCAATCAGACATGCATATACAACACGCGCGCCGACCGAGTACCCGGTGAGGGTTACAGGTCTCTTTCCTTGCACGCCATCGATAAGAGCATGCGCGAGAACCTTACCAGCCTTATCAGCTCGAGCAAGTGCAACACTAAAGGGGTTATCCAACACGCTGGCAGCTTTGACAAGGCCGAGTGGCCATAGACCGGCATACAACGCTCCGAGAAGCGTACGACTGACTACAGCATACGTGACACCGTCAAAAGCATATCCGAAAAGAACGTCATTGAGTGAGTTTCCGAGACGCAGCATCGCGTCAAGCTCAAAACGCAACGCAAATGGCTCAGTAGTTCCAGAGTCAACCACTTCCCAGGGCTTACTGACATCAGCTGGCGAGTTCAGCCACCCGCTGACACCAATGAAGACACGCAGTCGATGTTGTTCACGTTTCTGAGGGTCACGGGCATCTTGTTCATCAGCCCAATCGAGTTCGCGCTGGTTTGCCGGTCGATCAGGATCTGACACGCTTAGCTGCTAGACGAGGGTTCATATCAGATGCTGACATACCTTGGACTGGAAGAAACTCAAAGTCTCGAATTTCCTTTGCGTACTGCTCCATTACACGTCCTGTCATCTTGGCACCGTAGGCCCCGAACAATGATCCGACGAGCACTGAGCTACCTGCCAACGCACCAAGGTACGTTGAAACGACCCCAAGGCCAAGTCCGCCCATGACTGTACCTAAGCCGGCGGCGAGTAGGGGTGCAGCAAGACCACCCGTGACGCCGATCAGAACTGCACCGCCTACAGTTGCGAGGCCAACCTTCCAGCGGCGTGACGCGGCATCGTTGGATGCTTGATTCTTTGCTGTTGCTTCGGCGTCCATTTGTGAGGCAGCCGTCGCTAAGAGGCCTTGTGCAACCGACTTCTCATGCTCGCCCAGCAGATCAACCTCTAGTTTCAGACTACTTGCGAGACGTAGCAGCAAGATGCGCGAATGTGCCGAGTATTGTTCCAAGCTCAGCAAGAGAAGCAAAAGGCAATGCAAGATCAGGACACGCTTCTTTTCCTCGAGAGCCAGCAGTCTAGTCTCTATGACCTCGTACTGACCATGTTTTGTATTCTCGGATTGCTTAGATGTCGCGTTGGCAAAAGGGTCGACGTCGTCGAAATCGATAAGCGAGGAGATGCCTTGCTTTTGCCGTTCGTTTTGCTCCGATATTTGCTTTCGCTTCGCTTTTGCTTGTCGCACAGTCTCACCCCGAACAGAGACAACATCGCATATGCGGTGCATAACACTCGCGCGCCATTTATCGAAGAATGTCAAGGCGCTTCGTCGCAAAGCTTGCATTTGGGTGGAATCATGCTCTTGCGATCTTTCCCTCGAAGGGGAGGGTCTTATCGCAGTTTGTCGAGGCTCGTCGAGGCTTATAAGGTCTGGTGTGGGTGTCTTGGTATTGGGTGCAGACGATCGGCTCGCAACAGAAGGGGTCGATTCGGGATTGTTGTATGGCTCGAATGTAGCAGTGATATCGGTTCGCATGGCATCGATGCTTAAGAGCACGAGGAGTGCCAATTCGACGCGAAGTGTGGGTGTTTCGAGGACCGATGTAAGCGATGCTCCCTCATCTTTGCTTGTCTTGTCTGGAGCATTACCAGATATCGCACTGGCAAAGTTCGAAAACATGGCGGCCTAGTAGAGCATCAAGAAGCAGAATACGTGGGTATACTTTCAGTGACGAGGGATGGTGCATTGTGAACTGCGCCACTTGATTGACTGGGCGCCTGAGTCGCAGAGCTAGGCCCCCATGATATCGGGTATCACCATCCTTTGGGTTACCCCCGGCACGAAAACAGACGCGAGCAATTAGAAGTTATCAAGCGTGGCTAACAAGAGACCAGGCGCGTTGGTGTTATCGTTCTGGCGGGAACGAGGCAGCTAGATTATACGCGTGGCATATGTCGCGACGCGGCGTGATCTCGCGACAGATGGAATGTCCCCACATTAGCCGGCCCGGGCCTAGCGCAATTGGCCATCGTACAAGAGGGCAGGCAACTCGCTCTGGCCTACTTTCCCAACATGCAGCGCTCTAGGAATTTCGCAATTGTTTTCTCACCCTTATCGTATACTTGTGTTCATAGCTGCATATATGAAATACACCGCTCTAGATAACAAGGATCCTAATTCCGAAGGTAGACAAGTAGCAAACACCCCTGAACAGAGGTAGACTAGCAGGTCAACGTGAGTGGTATAAAGGGTTTCAGATTGACTCGTTGTATATCGTCAGTAATTAAGTGGCTTTACGGCCTATAGTATATTTAGTCATCGGCTTATTTGCTCCTCTTGTAAATCTTCTGGAGGAAGGTCTCGAAGACCTCCTTCTTCAAGCCCTCGCTCTCATCGACCTTGTCGATCTTAGCCCTCAAGTCGGCAACACGCTCCTCTTCCCATTGCTCGTAGAAGTCCTTCAGTTTCAGCTCGTGGTACAACTCTTTGACCTTGGCCTCCTTCTGTGAGTCCTTTTGGCCGTAGTTGTCCTCTAGCAGTTTCCGTTGCTCGGGGTTGACCTTCTTCAGAGCCTGGTTGATCAACCACGAGCACTTGTTGTCCATGATGTCTGTACCGATCTTGCCGAGAACGGAGGGGTCGGCGAAAGCGTCAAGGTAGTCGTCTTGTGCCTGGAAGTATTCGCCCATGGGGATGAGAATGTCTTCTGCGGTCTGCAAGTTCTTTGGCGTGGCTGCACCGGCGTAGTAGAGGGCCAGTGCGACCGGGAGGTAGAAAGAGTAGTAGGCAGTCTTGTAAATGACGATGAAAGTGAACTTGTCAAGGCTGAAGTTGTCAAGGTTGACATCGTCTTCGGGCGCAGTCAGCAGATCGCACAGCTGGCCGCATTCCGTCTGGAATGTAACCTCGTGGAACAGCTCCATCATGTCGACATAGCTCTTCTCTTGACGGAAGTGCTTCTTAAGAAGTACGTAAATGGCCGACTCGAGCATAAAAGCGTCGTTGATGGCAATCATGCCAACCTTGGGTGCAAGGTACCAGCAAGGGCTACCACGGCGGGTCTTTGAAGAGTCCATGATGTCGTCGGAAACCAGGAAGAAAGCCTGGAGGAGTTCGATCATCCATCCTAGGAGAGCAGCACGGAAGTATTCCTCTGATGACGGATCAAGAGTCTTTTTCTGGAGGATTGAAGTGGTGTCAATGACAGACATGCCACGGTTGCATTTTCCGCCAACAGTGTTGTAGTCGAGCGACTATGTGATGTGGTAAGCAAGTTGGACCCTGAATGCACCGTTCGGGATGTGGATGTACCTTTGTGAACCAATCAAGGGACTGCTTGGGCAGTTTGTACCCATTGCAGTGCTCCTGGAGGTCGGCAACAATGCGCGGCCATACGCTTTCGAATTCTTTGAGTGTGGTAGGCATCTTGCGCGCAGTGAATTGGGTATCTTTACAGAGCAGGGTCAAGATAGAGGGGCAGTAGCAGATGTAGGGGTGCGGGCGGTGAATGAGTCTAATTTCCGCGGCGGTCAAAGGTTCCGCCGGGCCATTGTTTGTGCCCCACCCTGCCGCTACAGGAAGCTCACCATCAACACGCGCATCGGCGGCAGCGACATCACGCGCAAGAGCATCGGACAATGATTTGAAGCGGAGACCGGGCACTGTCTTTCTGATATCCACGCGATGGGCACCTTATCCCAGGCCGACGAGGCCCAATTGAAGGCGCAACTCCAGGACGCCGTCATCGGGTGTACAGAGCGCTGTCTCTACCACTCTGCGAAATGGTAAGTGCCGAGTGTAAAATGTACCGACCTTTGCATGCTGATGTTGACAAGGGCCGCAGAACTACTCGATTCGCTCCCCTCGGCCGATGATGACGACGACAACGCCTCGGACACCGACGTTGACTCTCCCATGTCCGACGCCCAACCTCCACAAACACCCAACCTCATACGGAAAGACCCCACGGAAGCGCGTTTGGAAGCACGTGAAGCGCACAAGTTCCTCCTCGCCAAGACTTACTTCGACTGCCGTGAATATGACCGATGCGCCGCCGTCTTCCTGCCTGGCCCTTTACCCAAGGGCGCGTCGCAGCCACCTTCCACGCCTACTGCCAAGTCGAAGCAGGGGGCCAAGGGAAAGGCGAAGATGGTCACCCCGTCCAAGTCGAAGCTTTCCAACGACACAATGAAAGGCATCAGTCAAAAGTCGTTGTTCCTTGCGCTCTATGCAAAGTACATCGCTGGGGAGAAGCGTATGAACGAGGATAGTGAGATGATTCTTGGTCCTCAAGATGGCGGCGTGACTCTGAACAAGGAGCTACCGACAGTCGCCGCTGTTCTAGAAGAATGGTTCAGAGATCTGCCTAACAGCGGACGGCAACCGCAGGGCTGGCTAGAGTACCTGTATGGCATGGTGCTGGCCAAGGGAAAGAATGAGCAACTTGCCATCGACTACCTCATCAAGAGTGTTCACCAGTATACTTACAACTGGGGTGCGTGGCAGGAGCTGCAAGCACTACTCAGCACTATGGAAGAGCTTAACAACATCGTCACACGGCTACCACAGAATCTGATGACTTTCATCTTCCACGTTACGTCGTCTCAGGAGCTCTATGTAGTCAACGAACAGATTCACACCTCGCTGTCGCAAATTCTGACCATCTTCCCCTCATCGGCTTTTCTAAAGACCCAGCGGGCGTTGCTGCATTACCACAATAAAGACTTCGACGACGCCGAACAGATCTTTTCCGACTTGCTCATATCAGATCCACACCGCGTCGATCATCTGGACAACTACTCCAACATCTTGTACGTGATGGGCATGCGACCCAAGCTTGCCTTCTTGGCTCAGCTTGCCACAGCAACCGACAAGTTTCGGCCAGAGACCTGCTGCGTGGTAGGAAACTACTACTCCCTGAAATCGGAGCATGAGAAGGCCGTCATGTACTTCCGGAGAGCTCTGACTCTTGATCGGACGTTCCTTTCTGCCTGGACGCTCATGGGTCATGAGTTCGTTGAGATGAAGAACACTCATGCTGCTATTGAGTCATACCGTCGTGCTGTTGATGTCAATCGTAAAGACTACCGCGCATGGTATGGACTTGGTCAAACATATGAAGTGCTGGAAATGCACTCATACGCTCTCTTCTATCACCAGCGCGCCGCTGCTCTACGACCTTACGACCCGAAGTTATGGATGGCTGTCGGCCAATGTTTCGGTAAAGTGGGCAAGATCATGAACGGTATCCGATCATACAAGCGCGCCTTAGTGGCAGGCTCATACTATGACGCTGGTGTTGGTGCCTCTTTCGGCAGCGGCGAAGTCACTGGCCTTGGGGGTGGTATCCTCGATCCAGAAGTACTCTACCAAATCGCCTTGCTGTACGAGAGGATAAACAATATGAACGAATGCGCTGCATATATGGAACTGGTGCTCGCACAAGAGGAAGGCCCAGATTACGAGGAAGTGGGCTCCGAAGGCGCTGGTGGTGTTGGGGTCACTGCAACCACTAGTAAAGCCCGGCTCTGGCTCGCTCGATGGGAGTACATGCGTGGCATGTACCAGCGAGCTATGGAATTGGCAAATGAACTTTGCCAAGATGGTGTAGAAGTTGAAGATGCAAAAGCGCTAGTAAGGGACATTAGAGCGCGTATGGAGCGTGGTGGAGAGGACGCAGAAGATTGATTTAGCATAGCGTCTCAGCAATTTGGGCATTTGCAGGCGTACAGGTATGTCATAACTAACAATGATACCCAAGCAATACTGGATCGCAACATGTATCACATACTACTTGATAGCGCATTACAGGATTCCGATTCATTTCTTCCTCTTCAATTCAAAGACGCTCAGTGTCACCAACGTGAATGTCTACTTGCCGTACAGATGCGCCGTCCTACCCTCACCCCATCGAGGATTACCACCACTCTCCTTTTCCCAGCGCTTATCTTCGTCCTCCATCTCCCTCATCCTCGCACCTCCATCTTTCTTCTTGATCCAGCTTCCTGGCTTGAACTCACTCAGGTCTTTGTTCTTCTCTTCATTGATTCTATTGTTCCCATTGCTCTCTTCACTTGCGTCCTTGCGGTTAGCTTCTGCCAAAGCAAGATTTTCAACTTCTCGTATCCGCAGCTCGGCTATAATATAGTTCAATGTTCTTTGCATCTCACGCGCGTCATGGCCGCGGCAATCCAAGATGTAGAGCTGATTTGTTATTGAAGCTTGAGCAGAGATGAGTGAGGGAGTGGGTGAGAGGCGGATAGCAGACGGGTCCCAGGGGTGGGGATGGGTAAAAGCGTGAAGGGCTAAAGAGGATGACATTCTAGACAATTGACAATGTGCTTATGTTGTGGTATTGGGTATTCCGAGACCCTGGAGGTTGAATACGAATTGGGTGTGGAAGGATAGTTGGATGGTTGGAGTGGGATATGTGCGAGAAATAGGGTTTGGTCTTGTGATGTAAGCCGCCAATCTGTTGTGGCTCGCTGACGTGACAAGAAAACACGTAGGAAATGTGTTATCACAAATGTAACATCAGTGCTGCCTACTGTGAAGAAACGCTTTGTTGCTATTTACCATGGTCACAAAGGAGTCGCGAGCAGCTGGTGCAGTGTGCATCATTGGCATGTACACTTTTCGCAGCTCTATTCGTACCACAGCCGTTGAACTCATGGTAGCGTTCAACTAAATTGGTATTCACAGCTTCCTGGAACGGCGGCGTTACCGGTCAGACAGCGGATATCTAGTCTCTCATTTTCTGCTGTTGAACTCCACACTAACATTTTCTCCTCATCATTAGAGGAACAGCTCAACGAAGAAATCGAATTCTGCAGCCCAAGAACTGCAACAAAACAGACCCGTCTGCCTTCCATAATCTACTAAATGTTGCCACTATTTTTAACCAGCGGTCCGCCCCATCCCTGGGGAAGGTCCTTCATCGAAGGTGTTGGTCTAGAAGAACTTCTTTCGGTACACAATAAAATGTACTACTACCTGCAGGAGCGCACCCAAGACGATGGCGTTCGTAGCAGGGTTCGAGTTACAGCGAGCAGGATTCAGGAGCGACTTCAGCAGCACGGCGCGAGGAAGCTCATTGGAGCAACAGGAGGTGGTGGAAGCATCAACATGCAGCTGTCAGCGCCATCACCAGCACCAGCACAACTACGACAAGACATCATCGAGCGACAGCAAGTACAGTCGCAACTACAAATTCAGCAGCCAGCTCAGGAAGCATTCACCGTGGTACCCTTCGCTCAACAACAGCCTATGCCACAGTCCATACATCAGGGTCTCATGTATCAGCAACAGGCTCCACTCCAGCAGGGCATTCTCTATCACCCACAACAGCAGCCTCAGTCATTCAACATCACCACTCCAGAGGCTACGCCTACTTTGGCATCTGTACCGGTGCGGAATATTGTGATTGAACAAATTGACAGCCCAAGGATTGTATACTTTAGTCGTCGTAGGAGACTGCGTAACCAGGGACTGCTGTACTATAGTGATGATAGTGATTGAGTTTGACGGGTGTCTTTGATATGTCTGTGGATGGGCGTTGAAGGTGGGTGACGGCGATAACAAAGGTGTTGAATGATATGTTGGCTCTTTAGTAACGTAAACCCGAAAACACCGATCTTGTACCAAGCAAATGTTTATAAAATGATCCAATCTGATGCGCGCTCGTGTTCATCAAATACAGTTGGCGACTGACTCGAAGAACAATACACAATCAATACATCAAGGCAACAGGAAAACATGGGGAATAGTCTGTTTCATCGACTCGGTCATCCCCCTCGGCTCCAAATTTGCGCCGTCTTCGATCATGGTAGATGATCAAACTCGTGTGATGGATTTGTGTGATTGGAAATCATGAGCGGCATATACATGCCAACGACGTCAAAAGCGATTATTTCTTCAGCGACAAAGAGGCAGTCATACAGCTATTTACTAGGAACTATAACATCACAACTTCGTCACTGCCCAAGGTGTGCATTGAAGGGTATCAAGGTTTAGAATTTTATTGTGATATTCACATATGAGGTTGTAGTAGTGATCTAGCGTGATGTTGTCCAAAGATTACACACGCGTGGCAATCCCGGCATTCGAGACTTTGACATGCATGTCGCCATTCATAGTCAGGCTTATAGCATATAAAATCTCCGCACTATGATTTTCCTTGCTACATACTACCATAATCTACAAGCCAAAACTCGATATCCTCCTGCAGCAAAGATAGTCTGTACTCGCTGAAACATAACAAAACCTCGAACAACACTGGGTACACACATTTGACATGTCTCGTTTCAGTTCCTACAGTCCTTCTGTTTTCCATTGGGAACATCCTTGGGACTTGGAGCACCTGGGGTCCTGCTCGAGTTCCGAGCTTAGGAGCGTCTACAATCAAATCGACAGGGCATTCAACAACGGAGGCATACCTTCCGGTCTCTTGAGTGACGTGCGCCTGACGCAGCGCAGAATCAGGCGCGTTCTTCAGGGGAGGGATTTACTCGATTCTAATATGTTGGATGCGTGGAATATCAGGCTAGAAGATTCAGGCGACTTGGATTTCCTGCGTCGCGCGTCCCCAGATTTCGTCATCGGACAGACTGTACAGCAGAGAGTTATCAACCTTCCGGCACTTCGGCCCAACATCGCTATTCAGACCATCCAAGCTCCGTCGCCAAATATTACCTTCCAGACTATGCAGACCCCCCAGCCTGCTGCTCCCCTCATGCAACCTGAACTTCCTAAGCGACTCAGATTTCGTGATCAGTGGGGCAATATCGTCGAAGAGCGTGACGAGACAGAACAGGAGAAGAGTGATAGAGAATTTCAGGAATGGAAGGAGAAGTTTGGCATCAAGTAGGAGCCGCTTAGCCCGGGTCGGATGAGGGAATAGGTGCTTCGATAGAGTGAGCATAATGAAGTCCGGACCAGGCATGAAAATGTACGAACCAAGGAGTAGTGTCTTGATAGAATTGAAATTGTTCTCTTACTGAATAAGACTTAATGGGATTGAAAGCTGAGCGTTGGAATTGATATGATCGAAGGCTATCGTACATATATGCGTGACGTCGCTATCGGATAATCAGTGCTCACAGACACTTCAAAGTTTACGCCTCTCATAGGCAATGCTCGAGTTAACTTTGCTAGCGGCGTATTATACTTGCACTTAATTTAGTTGTGCTTGTGATGATGGCCGTGTGAATTGATGCTTGGTAGTAGTGACATCAGTGTCAGAACATGTATGATACACACGTTTGCACGGGGTGATGTTGTTATCAAGCCCTTGATTATTATGCGAACTCATTGACATTATGTCTTCAATGTACTCTGCTAATGGCATTCACTTGTCAAGCAAGACATCCACAGTATACTCGCAGTACAAAAGCGCAACTTCCTATGTGCTTGCTCTTGCTAGACTACTCTCTACTCTACCGTCCATCATCACATTTTCCTCATTATTTCTGAATCTATTGTACTTTGTATCAAAGCAACATGCTTGTCAGACGTCGTTATTCCGGTAACATCACCGTCGTGGACGGTCCTCATCCGATCGTGATCAGTGATTTAATGCGACTGCACGATGACTTAATTAGCGGTTTCCAGGTCCTGTTGGACAAGATCCAATGGCGTCAGAAAAACCACAAGGATCCAATAAAAACTGCATGTATGATGATGACGGTTCAAAGTATTCTGGAATTGGTATTCGATGATTATGGCGGCTGGGCATTCCTCCAACTAGGGCAGGGCCACCGATACTTCCTCCAGCGAATGCAGCAACAGCATCTCTTAACTATACCACAACATCAACAGACTATCGAGTATCCCCAAAAAGTAGCGACGCCAATGATGGGCCAGGCCCACAGTCAGGACATCATAGAGCGCCAAAAGGGAGCCAAGATCGCCGATCAACAGCAAGCATCGTCAGATCTAGACAAACACGAGAGATTTCTGGACAGGTTCAACGCGGAAAATGAGCATAACGAGAAAATGAAGAACAGGTATGCCGACGATTTGGCACTCAAGGCAAGGGTGGAGCTAGAAGCTGAGAAGAATAAAGCCATTGAGATGGAGAAAGAGAGCGCTCGCAAGCTCGAAGAGGCACGACAAAGACTTGAGAAGACTAGAATCGAAAACGAGAGAAAAGAAGATATGCTAATGCGCACGGATGAAGCAGTGAGCAGGGCAGACGAACTACAGCATCAGGCGCGTGAGATGATGCAGAAAGCAAAGCAGGAGAAACGTGATTCGGAAAGAAGAATTGAAGAGAGGCGTCGGGAAGCAGCTGCGAAGAGGGCACAGGGCAGGCAGCTATCGTACAATGACTCCAGAAGTCGGACAGACGAGTGGGGAATAAAAGGTTTCAGCTATGAGAACATTCAGATGCGCCGGGTTTCCACCGATAGGACATTCGAGAGAGGGTATGGGGAGCGTGGGTTACGCGAGGAGAAAGATAAACAGGAGGGTCACTGGCATTTTGATGAAGATGACATGCCAGATGACAATCACAGACAGCAAAAGCTACTGGAGAACACAGAAACCCAGGGGTCTGTTGCCACTCTACCGAAGCACATTGTCTCTGACAGCGATGACGATGATTCCGATAGCGACGAAGAAAAGAGGCAAGATCCATACCAGCTTATTGGTCTATCCGACAGAGAGCGAACACCGGTAAAAGATATTGAAACCACTCAAAGGGTACTGAACAGAATCCATCAGATTTCTGTTGACAATGCTACCGAGGAAGCTACGAGGAAGCACACAGAAAAACGTTTGGTCGAGATAAAGTGGGCAGCGAACATACTCTTGGACGACATGAATAAGAGAGCTTACGACGAGGACGGCTCCATATATCCCCACGAACAACAAAGCTGGAAGAAGAAGAGTAAGTCAAGCATCAAGAAGCACAAACACAGAGACTGATTTTAACATAGATGGTTTCGGCGGTGGTAGTGGTGGCAAGTACATTCCAGGCTGAAGAACTCTGAGGTAGTCTTGCTCTAAATCATGATGTCGTGCTTTCTTGTTCATATCAACCTCTGTTTTAGTAATAGCATTGGATTCTTCTTTAGCCTATGTGCGCAAAAATAGTCTATAGTCTGCTTGACAACCTGCATGAACCTGACCAATGACACTGTTACCAAAATAAAGAAGACGCGTGAGTACAACACGATTGCTGACGCAGAGATGCTGAAGTGTATATCTGGTGACAAGCTGAAGTACTATAATTGATGGAAAAGTTGATCGTACTAGCTAGTTCAATAGCTTTGGTTAGATTATCCCCATAAGTGACACACTTTTCGTTCCCATAGCCATTTAATTTCCACTTGCTGCTGTGTTCGTTCTCACTCTTACCCTCATTTATCATCATCCATTATAATGTACCACATCGACGTCAACAACCCGCCAGTAGAAACTGCTTGTGCAGTTCTCGAGAGAGCTTCTTTGCCTTCTGCAGCGCTAATTACAGATAGCAGCCTCGCAGCAAATGCCTCTCCAAAATCGCAGGAAGCAAATCCGACTAGAATTCGGCTATCGCCTAATTCGTCCCAGTATTCTTACTCACACTGTTCAAAAGTAGAGCCACTACAACAAGCAGAGCACGAAAGCATAATCCTTGCTGCATGGAATCAATACCAGACAGTCAATCAAATGCGTGCCTCGCCATACTACTTCTGTGTCGATTTACCGATATCCTCAAACAGCACGACCGCATCTACTCTCTCTTCAGGATCTACCTCGGTTCACAGATACATCACAGCTGCCTCTGGAAACCTTGACAAGCGAGCTGAGCACGTACCAACAGATCAAAGTCTAGCTCTGCACTCCGTTCATCCAGTACCAATACAGTATCTCCGGAAACTCACACCGAAGCAACTAGAGTTCGTGCACAGCTATCTCACCGGAAAACGATTTCGACCTGGCAGTGAGCTCTCACGACGAGCTTATGAAACGGTACGCAATATCGAGCGGATCACGCATCCAGGAGAGGAGTGAAGGAATAGATGAGCCCTTGTGCTAATTGTCGCAGATTTTCTGTGCTCTGACGTGCATATTTGGTATCAGCGTCACTGCAATTATCTTAACTTTAAGGGAGTGTATCTGACTCTTGTTGCTCTGATATTGGTACCGCTCCATAGTGACCTTTAATCATGCACGTTGTACATTCAATCCCTCGTAAGCAGCTCCAGAACTTGGTTCCAGTCTGCCTCCATAGTTTAGGCGCTGAGTTGGAGGAGGAGCGATGAGATGTCGACAGGACCCCAAAGTTCAATGCTCCTGTGCAAGAAACCTTGGCTCGCGTTGATGATGCTCTAGAGCTCATACTTCGAGTTCATATACCAGGAACTCGTATTTTTAGCGGAAGGAAACATTTCCAAATCTAAACATAGCATGGCGATCGTTTTAAACGTGTCGGAGATAGTAAACGAATGTGCTCAATGCTTCTGCATATTAATCAGTACGGCGGTATCGTACACTTGATATTTTACTGCTTATAGTGTATCGAGCATTCATCATAGGCTCAAATGGGTCGATGGAGACTGTGTAATGTGAAAAACGCTCCGGATGCTGTGAGTGCCCGTGAGAAGCTTTTACGCAGTGTACACTAGCTCATCATACTCGAGCACCAGGGCTACGCGAAGATTACCGTAGATAGCACTATCGCAGAAATTACATCTAGAGAGATTCGATGAAGCAGGGTAGGCGTAGTGTTGACGTAGTATCGCGCAGCGTTGATACATTGTAAAGTCGCATCGACGTGTCACAACCGCGACCTCGGTCCATTGTTAGCGTCGCAGCATGACATCACAGGGGTCACTGCCAGTCTGCTCCTTCACCAACATTAATTCACATACAGATAGTGTTCGCTTGCATGAATAGCACGTAGGAGCTGTTGCATAATTTCTTGAATTGATGGCTATGCTTGCGGAACTTTCCAGGTTATTGCAAAGCTTCGCGAGCACTCGCAATGTATATTCCATTCTTTGGTGTCTGAGGCCAACACGATACGTAAACACAGTCTCTTGAGATCTTCAATAACTGATGACACCAGCAAGGAAACAGCAATACATAAAAGGTATGTAAATCTACCTTTCCTCAATAATATTATCCGCAAAATCCTCGAGACATCAATTTACAGAGTAGCAAAGACGTGCATCTTCTTTGTCCCAAGATCATCCAACACAAGCCTCACTCAACATTTCCAAGCATGCCTTCGTTCCTACGCCCAAACGCCCAGCGTTGTCGTGATTTCTTGTCGCATCCAGATGCGTACGTAGTCCATATTCCGACTGGTGATGACCTCTACTTCACATTACCGTTCGACTTAAGCTCTTTGCATCCCATGCGCCCCCAAGAGCTAGAAGCCCTCCATGAATTCTTGGATACGATACAAGATGAGGTTGCAGAAAACCTGGGTAACCACACCCTCGAGAATGTTCTGCAAGCGCAGTCGATCATAGTGCGCTGGCTCGAAAACGTCAGGTGCCTTGGCGATTTGGAGACGCATGGTTGGGCAGCTGGTCTGGGCTTCCCAATATTTGATGACTACCAACATCCAGTTGACTTCCATTGGGACTGGGATGTCATCAAGTTCGAAGGGCTTACTTCCAAATACTTCGAACTGGTACATCCTGCAAGCACCCGTTCCGTCTACCATTCTATATACCGCAGCTCCACTGAGCACGCCTCCGCCCCATCCAATACTCCAGTCAATCGTAGACTGTACAGAGGGACGGACCCGGACTATATGGAATCTGAATCTAATAAATCTTTCAGCACGCATGTGGCAGCCAGTACGAACAACAACGAGATTTCGGACTTCTGTGATTACTTTCCAGACCTCGACTTCGCCCCACCCCAAGACCGAGTCTTTCAGTTTGAGAGTGACAGCCACCGTGGTACTCGCAGCATTCGAGGACAGAATGTGGAAGTTTACCCTGACCGGGTTTCGCAGACTTCAAGACTCGATGCGGAGACTATTGAACCTACCAAGATCCAGCAACGTACTCGTCAGCTCACGATGGCGACCGAGAGATATTCTCCAAAGCCTCTGCATGCATGGGAAGACTTCTATCAGCGAGGGCTGATATGTTACGGTCTGGCTGCCGAAAACAGTTCCCTGGTACCCTATGCCGATCTGTACTTGCTCAAATTATACAAAGCTATGCGCGACCAGGGTTCGTCAGAAATAGATTCTCTGAAGCAAGTAAGTAACATCAAGTCAACTGACCCTAAGAGTTTCCCTGGGCGATCTGTATGGAGAGATCATTCGCGATGGGGCGACGAAAAGTTCAATCACACATTCCCCAATGAGCCTGGTTATTGTACTCCTCTGGTGACTGTCAAACAGACAGTGCCTTGTTTTCATCCTGAGAAATGTGCCGAAGAATGCTACATCTCGTCAGAAGGTTGCATGAAACAAATTCAGGATTCTGGTCAAGGCCCAGAGCGCCAGGTTCGATTTGTACAGCCACCATCCGACCAGGAGGTTGAAAAGTCTACGTTCCCAGGACACGCAACACCAAAGTGTGCGTATAACATCCAGGAACCACTTGGTTACCATCGGTCGTCAATGTTCCATGAGCGCAACTCGTTGCTTCCTTCTGGTCGTGAATGGGAGTCGATGGCAGGAACTGAAGCTGCTAAGAAGCTCTCCAAGTCCAAGAGACAAGAACGCAATCAAACCCATAGCGATCAAGAACTCCAAAGTGCTTTCGAAGAAATTTCAATTGTATCTGAGCCCAAGGAAGTCAAAAGATGTGCCCTCCAGAACACTGGGCAGCGGGCTCCCCATTTTCGAGGCCATGAGCAGAGGACTTCGTCCGCCCAGAAAACTACTGCGGAACTTAAACACGACACTCAAGATATGTTTCATCAAGCCTCATATCATCGATGCACTGTCTGTGGACATTCTAACGCTTCCCAGACCTTGCCAATCCAAAAGCCAACTCGTGTATTCAACTGGCCGAAGTCAACAGCAAGACCTTCGATCTATCAGGCATATGCTGAAGACAGTCCGGAGGACTCACCTGGCGCTGAATCCGGCTCGTGGAGGGATGTGTGATGGAATGGAGTCAACGTCGGACATCTTGCTGAGATGTGTATAAACTAACTATGGTCACTCGATCTGGAAATTGATGTAAATAGGATGTTAGCCCAATTGTATCAAATTCTCCTTCTTTCACCGATGACTCTAAGGTGTATCTTATTGTCGCGCCTTTTTCCATCTTATTCTATTCACTCCAGTTCGTTCGTGTGTAACTCCTACCGACGGTGAAGGCGCAACGTCACCGTATACAACCCAAAGCGACTTGCCAACAGCACGTCACCGCAGAGTCCCGAATCCCACCAAACTGACATAAGAGTTTGCTCACACAACTAACAGCCTACCTCAAATCCTATCCCCCAGCCACTTCGTATCCTGCTCGCAAAACACTAACAGCATATCGCTCTTACCGCACCAAATGTCTTTATATAATCGTGCTCTAGATGTCGTCTTCACTCTGTTTCCCTCAAGACAACCAAAAACCACAAAACTAAACCGCGTAGATGCACCACCCCACCTTCTTGAGTACCACGACTCCAGCGTCGGACCCAGATCACCACCGTCTCAAACGCTATTTCTTCCCCTACGTACCCGCATAGAGATCTCCCCACTCTCTACCCTAGGTATGGCACAAACTCACGCTTACTACGAGGAAATCGACAGTATACCCGCATCCGCCGCCAACCAGACCAGCCCGTTCCGCAGCGAATGTTGGTGGATCATTCATCCAGTGACTTGCGTAGAAGTACTGGATTTGAGTACAAGGGTGCTGGTGGATTTGAAGCTGTGGATTGAGGAGACCGTGCCGAATAAGCTGTTTGTTAGGAAGAGTGGGACTATCATGGAATTCAAGGGTGTGCGAGAAGAGACGCTAGGAAATGTAGTGAGTGAGTTGAAAAAGAGGAAAGACAGGGGGGACTTGGAGAGCGAGGAAGGGTATGTGGGAGGTTGGCAGGCCGTTGGTCGAGACGGGGAGGAGATGGCTAAGGAAGTGACGGACGAGGATGACAACGATAGGTGCGATGAGGTAAACGTGAGGAAACAGAAGAAAGTAAACAGACTGAGCCGGAACTCCGATGCGCAGTTGGAAGAAGCTGCTGCTGCCGGGCGAAACGCTGCCGAGGAAGCGAAAGTGAAGAATGAATACGAGTATGTATTCTAAAAACGATTGCGGGGACAGCAAGTCGGAAATTGAAAGATGCAAAGCACTTGAATTTTTCATGCAGGTTTCATTCAAAGGTTAATATCTGGCCGCAAGATCTACGCTATATGATATATAAACATCAGGTGCCAGCCCAGAAATATGTCATGTCCAAGGAGATTCGTTGTCGTATCCTTGGTCCTATCTCGTGTATATGAACTATCATTGAACATCTGGGAACGGGGTATCGCCAAACCAGCCCATGTCCTTTAGCCTTGGTATATTGGTACCATCTGTGTACCCTTCCATGGATCTACAAGCATCATATATCGTTGAGCCTCATGTTGCGCCGGTGTAAAGAGTAAAAGGTAAGAAGAGAACAATAGACGCGAACGAAAAGTCAAGGCGACAGGGGGAATCATGCTTGCTTAAAGTCGAAAACCTTGATGGAAAAACAGAATGGGAAACTCCTCGCTATGCATGACCGGCCGTCATGTTATATAGACCGTTAACGATATTGCGCGTATTACGAAAAACTTAAAACAAAGTCGCGCAGTCGATGGTAATAGGAATGGTCGACAGGGGTATCAATGCAGAGTCGAACACCAAATGCGGAAAAAGACATACTATGCCCTGCTCGGGTTGATGTTCTCCAGCTCGCTGCGCTGGCGCAAGTACTTGGCGGCAAGTTGATCGCCACCCTTCATAGACTGCTCCATCCAGTGCTGTGCAACACACATAGTCATTGGATCGCTGCGAGCGGGATCCTGTGACGCTCTCCTCTCACGGTTGAGAAGCTCAGTCTTGAAGACCTCGCTGGGCCTGGTGAGTGGCAATACAGTGCGATGAACGAGCTCGGGTGAAGTGAGGTAAAAGATGGCAAGCTCACGCTCAGCAACTGCGTCGCCTTCCTTGGCAGTAATAAGAAGCATGCGCCCGGCATCCTCCATAGTGTACTTGGATAGTGGTTCGTCGACCGTAGCCAGTGCGGTGGATGGTACGCCCGCCTTCTCGGCGGCACCACCACTGCTGACTTTGCCTGCATCTCGCTTGGAGTTTTGGGTGATGACTTCGTCAACAAGCTCAACCATGATCCGGCAGACATCTTGCTTAAGGCCAAGGGCAGCAAGGCCAACATCCCAGAATGCCTTGCCTCGCGCAGTCTTGTCCAGCATCTGTGCGGGTACAAAAGATGCTATGTATTGTAGGTCTCGGAACAGTGTCTTGGGTCGAATGTTGGCATCGCGGAAGAGGCCTTGGATGACTTCAACAATCATGTCTGTGCTTGGTGGTCCAACCGGAGAGCGTGCACCGTTACGAGGCAGAGGAGAGGCGTTGCTAGCGCGTTCCACATTCATGCTGTGGGAGCGGCGTTCCTCGCAGTTGGCAATTGCCTCTTCCAGGTTCTGTGCACGAGAAGTCTGCGTAGCTGGCTCACGGGAGCTGAGTTCCGGCATGGTGCCAAGAGTAGGCGATTGGGGAACTGGAGGGAGTGTTTCGCGACGGTTATTGTAGGAGCGACCTGTTCGAGAAGACAAAGACGCTATGATGAGCAACTCTAGCTCGTACAATGCATGGAGCTTGGAGAAGGGATTGGGGTGTGTTTGAAATCTGCCTAGCAGCCGCCGGAAAGCAACGTTGTAGGGGAACTCGAGGAGTCCAGCCTTCTTCGCTGTGGAATTGCCAACCGAACGTGAAGTTGCATCGCTTGAGGCTGAAGAATGCTCACCAGCTGATTGATGAGCGTCGGATGCGCTAGCATGTTGGAATGTCGCAACAGGTGGGGCAGCTGAACCCCGCTCGTTGCGGCCAAGCGTCTCCAGGGGCAGGTTGCGTTGATCAGGTAGCGTCTGCTTTCGAATGTTCTTCATGCTCTTCTTGGCAAGTTGCTTCTTGCGCTTGCGCTCTTCTTCGTCCCTACGCTCGAAGACGTCGTCAAGTAGATCACCACAGAACCACGAGTCGGTCTCGCTCCCGTTAGCGAAAACCATCGTTCCGAGATCACTCAAGAGAAGGCCTGTGAGTGTTTGCTTCAAATCGAGCATGAAACGACGCTTGTCTTCGTTGACCATTGCAGATTGCTTCAGCATCACCGTACCCTTTGAAGACGATGCGGTACGTGGACGAATGCTGGTGGCATTGGTGGGCGACTGCGCTTGAGTTTGGAACGGCGACCAGAAAGTAGCCACAGAGTCGATCGACAAGACAGGTGAAGAGCCACCGAAGTAGTCGTGAGAGTCCATGGGATTCCTTCCCCAGGGACTCTGATCAAAGCTGGAAGATCCATTTCGGTTGGCTGCGGCACGTAGACTGCCCTGGCTTGGTCGTTGCGAAAAGTCATGACTACGTGAACCAGGCCGGCCATGGGTCTCGTACTCCTCGTCGCCAGCGATAGAGAGCGTGCCGACGCCAGTCAGGAACAGATCACCCTTCTGTCGTCCACTTTCTAGAATTTGTTGATCGCGCTTGTATAAGTCGCTGGACCAAAGAACGGGTCCGTCCAGAACACCCTCGCCAATGATCTTCGTGACGCACTTGTCGACTTCAAGACAGAAACGATGTATCCGCTCTTCGCCCTTGCAGAAGTTCTCTACGCCGTATTGCATGAGCCATTTCAGGGTGATTTGCGACTGCTCATCGGACAGCTTGTTTGGACCACCGAAATCTTGAGTGGCGGACATGAGGTCAACGAGTTGAGCTTCATTTTGCCGTAAGAAACTGTTGGTGCTCCGTGGCTGAGAACCAGAAGGACCTCTGGCACTAAGCGTCTTCGACTGTTGTTCCATGATCTTGAGGGCAAGCGCGACGTTTCTGGCGTCTTCGTATGGCTTCGAGGTACGAACATCTGTAATGTACCACATCTTGTCGCGAAGGTTCTTGAATGTGATCATCATCTCGTCAACCATACCATCTGATCGCTCCTGTGATTGCTTGAGCCACACGAACCAGGCCTCGAACTCTTCGATGGCGTTGGCTGCTTTGCTAAGGAGATCACGCGGACCGCGAGAGAAGTAGTTCAGGAGAGCAGCATACCCATTCTTGACCAATGTCGGAGAGCTGAGTCTTTTCAAACTTTGCAAGGTCTTGTAGTACATGTGCGCATTGACGAAATCAGATCTTGCTTGGCACTGGTACATGGCTGTCTCGAGCATTGTAACGAGAACAGAATTGTTCTCTTGCTTTTCGCCGACTTGCGGGTTGCTGTGGCTCCTTGGGAATTGTGGGGAGCGTCGAGATGAGACGTTTCTTGAACTTGCAATCATGTTTGTGAGCTGGCTTTGGCTCTGTGTTGAGTTGTACGGATTGCGTGAGCCAAGATTGTCGCTAACATTGCGTACCGGGCCACGTCCACGTGTGCTCTTGCGGGTTGTCATTCGGTTACTGAAATTCTTCGATTCACTGTCGGGTGCCAGTTCTTTTGGAATTTCGTACTCTTCAACCAGCTTGGCAATGGCCTCTTTCAACTGGTGGTAGTCATTTCCAAGATCGAACCTGTTCCCACCATCCTCGTCGTCACTGCTGTCACTGTCTGGTGAGTCTTCATCGTGCTCATCTTCATCATCAAAATCCTTGCGCATACGCGGCTTCAGCTGCTTTCCATCAGCGGAGATGTAAAGGACAGCCCATCGCTCTGCGCACGGATGGCATGAACCCGATGTCGCCTCGAAACCTAGAATGCGAGTCATCTCAGAACATGCTGATCGCAGCTGTTTTCCGTATTGCTCTGTTGGCACTGGCTTCATCTCATTTTCCGAGTCGGTTGATGCTGGGTTAACGTCCAGGAGCGGCTCTCGCGACGTCTGGTCACTGGTCATGGAAGAGGCACTGGCACTCAGAATAGAGCTTGCATCAGTCACGGAAGCGGCGGCATTCCGGAATGGTACTGACATCCCGGACATGGATGAAGCAGATGAAGCGAGACCAGTACGGCGCTGGCTGTCGTTGTCCATATGGCTCGATGATGGACGGCGCTCTGGGAAGAGGGCATTAACCAAGGTCACAATGTCTGCCGGAGAGAGAACAATGAAGGGCTGAACTTCCACAGTTTCCCTAGGTGACGTGATGGCCTTTGCAGGTAGCAAAATTGGCTTCGAGGGAGTTTTAGTGTGCTTAAATCGGGCCAAGATGTTTTCGATATGTGTTCGGATCTCTGGAAGTATCGGTACTTTCTTTTGCCTAGATTTGTTGTTAGCTGATGATGTTAGTGTTACCTGGAAATCGGATCATACCAGTTGTAGGTCATGTCCACGACGTATTTCTGCGCTCGGATGGCAACCTCCTTCAGAATTTTTATGCGGGCATGCTCGCTGATGTGGTGGCCTATCATGATACCGTGAGTCTAGCTGTTGTTAGTGCCATGAACCTCGTATCGACAAGGGTAAACATGCCTCAGGATGAATGATGGCGTTCATCAGGAAAGTAGAGAATAGCCAACGCGAAACGAAAAAGTTTTGAGAAGCCCTGCGGACGTTCTTCTCATCCTCTAGCTTCCGGAGGATGGCATTTCCAATTTCTAGGACGCCTTCCGGGATACCGCCGGCACTAGGCTCATCATCAACGACTTCGAACAAGCGTTTGACAGCCTTGTCAAAGAACTCGTCTGCTGCAATGGTATCTTTGGTCGAACGTTGGACCGGCATTCCGGGTCGTGCTGCCTGTTCTTCTGGCTTCTCTAGCAGGAACTGGCCGTCCTGTAGGGTCTGCATAAGATAAAGCTCCAAATTGGTCTTGCCAGGCCACTCTCGCATACCTGCCCAGACGTCAAGTACAGTTCTGATGAAGTTTGGGTTGTTGTTCTTGATCAATTTGGCACAAACAGTGGCCCATACGTCAGTGCGGCGGAGGTCCTCGGCTGAGTCGGGTCCGGACGAGTTGGCGAATATGGTGTAGACTAGGGCAGACAACGGGTCGTGGCGCTGAAAAGACAACAGACGTTCTACTGGACTCGTTCCTTGCTGTTGAGGCTTTTGCGAGGATGCATTGCGGCTGCGGGCGTTTGCAAACATGACCGAGTCAATGGGATCCATGGTCTGACGGAAAGACGTAAGAGAAGTGAGCTCTTGCTGCGAAAGACTGGAAATGCGAGCAGCAAGAAATTCAGGATTGGTGCGGATCTCAGAAATGAAATCCAGAAGATTGTCCAAAATCTTGGACGGAACTTCATTGAGGAAAGTTGAAGCAGAGAGGGGCTTCTCGCTCTTCATGTTCTTGGACTTGCCAAACTCCAGATCCGGCTCCAAAAGGGCGTATTGTCTCGTGGCATCGCACGAGTTGCGGACATCGTTCAGGGCATTGTATAGGGATGCGAACGACTTCTTGTCGTCTGACCGGAAGTTATCCACCAGCGTGCGGTAGGCAAGCTCTCCGCAGTGTACCAGACGTGCGGAGAGGGCGCTAGAGACCAGCCACCTGTGTAGGCGCACGCGAGCGTGGGTCTTGCGCTGCTCTTGGTAGCCCTGGAGGCGTATTAGATGAGCGAGTTCGGCAAGGGAAGTCGCAGACGGTGGGATGGCTGCAGTCGGCAGGTACGAGTCGGTGTAGGAAGAAAGGTCGGCGGGCAGCAGTCGAGGCAGGCGGCCTGCGGGTGCAGACATGGAGGCGGGCATCTGGGGTCGCTGGAGTGTCTGGTGACCATGGCGGTCGTTGTCGACGTCTGGCGTTCCGCCAGGTCGACTCCCCATGGTGGTCGTCAGGTGCTTGGGAGCGCGAGGTGAGGGCGACCGGGGCGGAGCCTCAGTGGGCGGGTCGTCGACTTGAGAAGTAGTCACGGTAGTGTGCGAGGGCGTGTGGCTTCTGGACGAAACATGCGTCACGGTGGGCGACACGGCTACGAGTAAGGTCAGCGTCGGCTCGCCTGCCAGCTCATCGTACATGGACAGAGCAGCGCATCGATGCTCGCGCCAGCTATTGGACGCTGGACCGCCCGAGGACACCAAGGAGCACAAAGCCCAAGGAGGGAAAAGCACCTACGCGGAGTATTGCCAGCCTGCGCCGGCGAGGCTGTGAGTTGGGTTCGTCGGATCATGTCGCCATGAGGGAGCCCCATGGAAGCCCTACGGAAGGTGCGGACCTCAAGAAGATGGCAGTGATCCCCTACGGCATTGCCAGATGGAGCGATGGTATTGGGAGAATGGGGACTGCTTTGGGCGCGACCTCTCCACAGCTTTGGACGTATGCGCTGGCGCGTCTTGACTCTTTAGGTGGTAATGATACAGAGTAGCGAGGCCAAGTAGGTGTGATTGGGCGCCTGTTTCGAGTCCCTGTAACAAGGGCGGGCAAGTCACGACTGCAGCTCAACGGCCCCCCTACTAATGCTAGCTATACTGACTATACCAAGGCTAAGACGCGAAAGCGACCAGAAAGCGGTGATGGACAGCCAGCGGCGATATACCGTGTATAGTTGCAGCGGGGGAGCTGCTTCAGATTGGTGGCCATGGCAGACCGCCAGACTTGCCCACGGCCTCACATCGCCATAGAACTGTCCAGGCGATGACTTGCAGGAACAGCACATCGCTGTGGGACGAATGAGGGCCGACCGCCCAAATGCCTCAGCTCTGAAAGGTCCATGGACCCTCTTTTGCCCACACGTTTTGCATGGCCAGCCATCCCCGCCTCGCACAGAGACTCGTCGACAACGCACGCTTCTGATCGGCACCGTCGTCTTTCTGTTGGAAGCTTCGGCGATGCTCTCCCGCCGCTGGTGCTGGCGAGCCATGTCGCCATAGAGAGACTAGGGTATCGGCTTGGCCGCTTCTGCGACCGCCCAGAGACGCTACCCCTCCTCTCCATCACCACGACAGACGACGCTCAACAGCAGAGCAGCTCGTAAACTCTCAAACACGCTGCTCTGGCGCATCTGCAAGGCCAAACAAAGGGCGACGCCCAGCAAATCACATAAGCGCATGTCTTCTCGCCCTCCTGACGTGACGGTCGTCGAGTGGAGTCGCGCTGCCCCTGCGCTGCCAGCGCATTCCTGTCAAAAAAGACCATGCCATGCAACATGCTGCACGCCAAAGCATCGCGCTGCACTGCTGAGAACCCATGGTTTCCCACTTCATATCCCAGTGCATGGCTAGTGCCTAGTCAATCTCCAGATCATTCATCATCTTGCCATGTATATGCCGTCGCCGTCCAATGAGCCTCGCTGTCGCACCACATACTAAACTATCTGCAGCATCTTCTGCTTGGAGCTATTGCTGCACACGCTGCGGAGCTTCGTTCCTTTTGCATGTTTGCAGCAGCATTGCGTCTGCACCGGTGTCCTAGTGGGTGGCAGCTCTATCGCGATCGTAACATTACGAGATAACAATCTTCTGCGTGGGCGTTGAAATGTTCCATTAAACGTGTCCCCAAATTTGGGTGTCGGAGATCATTGTGCCCATCTGCCGGTCCTAGTCGCGTGCGAAATACCCCGCCACCACGAGTTGCCGCATACAGACCGCTCCTTCCTCAGGTACCTATGGCCCACCGACGTACCCAACGGCACTTGGGCTGACGCTTACGTGCCCAATTGCTGCTAAGCGCCTATCTACAATGCAAGACATAGGAAAGTGTGGTGATCCCGCTAATCCGACACCAACGCGCCAGCGTAGCGCTCTACCGGCACCATTGCACCCGATCGATGGTCTTCACGGCTCCATCAGAGCTTGCCCTCTTGCACCCATAGTCAAGTCATGGCTTCCCTGAGTAGAGGTGCGACACGTTTCCGACTGTGCTGCACTTGTCGTTGCCACCAAGTCTTTCTCCACTCCCTCTTGCCGTCAATGTCGTCGGAATTCTGCCACTCCTCCAATCCCAATTCGTCTTTTGAATTCGTGGCAAAGTTTTTGGCAGCTGACACGGCGCCGTCGTTGAAGGCCCATAATAACAGCTCTCTCTGGAAACCGCCATCTGAACCTGTGGATGTGGTCATCAGGGAATACATGTCCAAATCCCGGTCCTTTGCAAATTCCTTCAACGCTGCGAGGAATGCTTCAGCTGTCTGAGCGCTTGCTTCGTCACCAGCCTTGTTTTGGAGGAACTCGATAGACTTGACAACGGAGCTGACGCCGAGCTTCAGACCACCCTGGTCCCACTGCTTGTAATCTTTCCGAAGTATGTCTTGCAGCTTTAGGCTTCCAATGTCCTTCTTTGCTGCATTGATCTCCTTGTAGAAGCTGGTTCGGTCGAAGCTTGCAGCTAGCTGGGGACAAAGCATAATCTTAGCTTCCAGGTACTCGACAGCCTTACGGTCATGCTCGGTCGTTTTGTTCTCGTCATGGAGATCAGCCGTGTCAATAAGAATACTGGCCAAGCTTAATTGGGCAATATCCGCATCCCAGCGCTGAACAAAGGCAGCGTCATTGGACATGCTATCACCCTGCGCATGAGCTGCTCCAGAAGACAGGGCAGATAGCGAAGCCATATCCCACGATGGCCGACAGTAGTTTGCGATCAAGCTAGTGCAGCTGCCACTCTTCTCGATAATCCTCGGCTCCTCACCTGTGTCCTCTGGAACTTTCTTTTCATCATCATGGTGGTCAATGACGCCAGCGACGCGCTCAGCGTACATCTTGCCTAATTGACCCTGCAGAGCATTGTGGTCTACCAAAATCCATTTGGTATTCTCAGGTGCAAGTTTCGACTCTATGTCGGATAGCGCGGGTAAGTCATCAAGCGTGATCAAGTGCTTCGACTCAATATTGGCGTGTTTAAATACGGCAAGGTATTCCGGCCTTAGCTGAATATCAGCAGCTGGAATATTCGTGATTGGCACGTAAATTGGACTAAAGGCATTCTTGGGCGGTGACATAGACCGAATGTACGCGTATAGAATAGAACATGACATCGAATCAAGGTCTGTAATTCATGAGTTTGGAGCGCCATTGTGGAGCAGAAGTCATGCTCACCCGCAGACTCATTGCCAATGACGAATGTAATCTTCTGACTGGTTTCAATAGCGCTCCGGAGAGCGCCTCTCGCGTGTGTAAGAAAGCCCCGTAAGGAATTCCTCGGCACTGCCATGATGGTGTTTGGCGGTGAGAGATGTGAGAGGATCTTAAGAGGTTCAAAGTAGACGAGCGAATGGTGGTCGAGAATACGGGTGACGTAGAAGAAGCTTGGACCACACCCCGCGCATCACGAGAATGGGAAGGAGCGATAGCAGGAGGGCTAAGAGCAACAATGATGGAGTGAGACCAGTGAGCTTTTCGTATTGAATTCGATTTAATCGCAGCCGCTTTAGTCGCCAAACTCTGGCATCCAGCCTTGCTACCTACCCAGCACTTGGAAAGGCGCCACACGTCCATGATGGTCTTGTGAAAGATGTCGTTCACCATACTAAGGCCTTTCGGAGCGCGATGAATGACTTGCTTAACTGATCTCAACGCTATCTGCAGGAACTCCTTTGGTACTTCGTAACCTGCGTGCGAAGAATTGCATAATGGGCAGCATCTCTTCGCGACTACTTGGCATACCGTCGCCGTTCTTCTTCCACTCTTTGAACTCGATATAGTCGAAAACGTCTTTCAGCTTCGTCGTAGCACTGTCCGTGACTGCAGACTTCTTGTTTGCCTTGCATACCAGCACCGGGGTCTTGCTCTTGTTCTGCAGAGCTTTCAGGGACACTGATTGTGAGAGTGGCCCACCGATACTTATTACCCCGCCTAGTTCTTCCTCGAGCTCGGCTGCAACCTGCAATCCGACCATGCCGCCTTGCGCGAATCCAAAGATCATGATCTCTCGTCCTTTGTAGCCACATTTCCCAATGAGACCTTCGCGGATGATCTGGTCTAGTACCAGGCGTGTTGACCCCTGGAGACCGGTATCCATGTCCATCTCGCCGGTACTGGAGTCGAAGATCATGTCTTCACCCCAGTGCATTCCACCGAGGTCGAACGGCACGGGGTTCGGTGCCTGTAAGGCGAGACATGCTGTTTCAGGTAGATTCAGCTGCTCACCGAGCTTCGTAAAGGGTGCGTTCGTATCGCCGAGTCCGTGTAGGAGGATCAAGATGTTGGTGGGCGGCTGCGAAGACGGTGCTGCAAAAGTCAGTAGAAGTAGGAGTAACACTGCCGAATGCGACATACGTGGCGTGATGCTGAGCGTCGCTGACGACGGAAAGTCAGCTTTGGTAGGGAGTCGGCCCGGCATGTTGCTGTGAAGATGGCGTTGTGGCTGAGCACATGGTGGAGTTTGAGGCAACAGGTACGATCACGGAGTTTCGGGAGATGCTCGCTCGCTAGCCTACCAAGCTTTCAACAGGAAGATCAAGCAACAACGCGGATCTTCACCCACAGATGGTTCTGGACCTTCGTACAAAAACAAAAGCTATCGTGCAGGTCTCTGTACGTCCAGTCGTTTACGACCGGAGCTTTCTACAGCTCCAGCTCCTCGATACCAGATTCCAGCCGCTCTGTCATGCGAGGCTAAGCTTTACCAAGGAAGCTTATTTGGCCTGCCGTGCATCCCGCCGGTCTGACGTCCACATCCTGGCTCATTACGCACGCATCTATACCACAATTGGCTGATCATAATACTCCAAACATACCAACACGACACATGGTCCACTAAGATGGAGCCGTTCGTGCGCTGGCGCGTAATGTGGCGCGAGAATGAGCTCAAGGACCCTGCGTATGCTTCATAGCTGTGCCACAAGTGGTCCCTGGATGGCTGCGCGATGAGAAAGAGAGGGGCACAATCGGCCCTGGTGGATGATTTGGTATTGCCAACAGTTGCATGAATGCTGGCCGCCTATGACGCCGACCGGCAGCAGCTGGCTGCGGAGAGATACTTAAAGCGAGGTCAGGTACGCTTTCTAGGACACTGCACTCAAACACTATCCTCTCAACACTTCAACAGCAAAAGAACCTTACTTGTATTCACATTTCCACTTCATATCTTCACAATGGGCTTCTGGAGTAAGTCTTCCATCCTGATCGTTCAAGAGAATCTGATATTAATCTTCATCGTACAGACAACAACGAAGACAACTACCAGAAGGTATACGAGAACGACAACTTCGAGGAGAACAAGTCTAGCTTGGGACATGAGGTGATCGCTGGAGGAGCTGCCTTCGCTGGGTTCAAAGCTTTCGAGGACCATCAGCGCAAGGAGGGTAAGTGTTCCCTCTCTTGTAACTGCCATCTTACGCTGACACCTAATGCAGGCAAGCCCGTATCCCACCAATTCGCTAAAGAGCTACTGGCTGGCTTCGCAGGTGCCGAGGTAAGCATTTTGTACGTAGGAAGACGAGATGGATACTAATCGGGATCTGTAGGTAGACAAGCTTGCTGAGACAAAGGGCGAGGACTGGTTCGACCGCGAGAAGGCGAAGCGAAGCGCGGAACAACACGCCAAGAGCATGTACGACGAGCACTACATCGAGAACCAGGAGGCCGACCAGTACAACCCCCAGCAATATGGTCGCCCAGAGAGGTTCGAGCGACGCGGATGGTAGCGGAGCAGAGAAGACTATGATTGGTGCAGTCTCGTAGAAGGAATGAACAAACCAATAAATGACTAGCTTATTGAAATGCGCACCCTTGCTTTTGGTCAGCCTCTCAAAACTGCCAACGTGTTTCGCGAACGGTGTCAGCCACTGCCATGCCTAGATGTGTTGATATACATTCGGATCGGGTCCTGTTATTAGGGTGAATGAGGGGGTCCACAGCCTGACAAGGTATGACGTTGTCGCCAATGTCGCCAATCTTGCCAAGTGCGTGCATGATTCGTGCAAATCTCCTCCGCGATAGACACACCTCAGCGTGACGGCGCTCGCATTACGTTCGAAGTGCTGGAAAGTAGCACACGACCATCTTTGCGGTTACCGACACACATTCAACAGGTCGGATCCCGATATATTGTCACCCTGTGGGATCTGATGAGCCTGCAAGAAACGCGCTTTTGTGCCCTCCTTTCATCGTGTTTCGCGGTTGACGCGCCAACGACGTAGTGATGAAGTTTGCGAAGTGAGACAGCGCGTTCGAGTATCACCAGCCACAGGACTGACTGCAACAGAGAACTAGAGCGCGATCTCGTTCCGGAGTGGCGGCTCAAGTACTTAGACTACAAGGTGATGCCGACTTCCGCTAGCCCTTATCTAGCACCACCGCAGTTGACTGATGGTGCCTACAGGTTGGCAAAAAGAAGCTCAAGGCCATCAGTCGGGCCCTCCGCAACGTAGAATCCACCCCACGGCTCCGGCGACGCGGCACCAACGTCCTCCCCTCGCCCTTTGATGCGGCTCCGAAATACACGTACCTCAATCGCGACCATGCGCGACAAGGCGAGACGGGCAGCACGAGAGACCCTGGAGACCTGAGGGCCCTTGCCATAACGAACAGCCGGAGTGAGCACAGCCTGCAACAGCGAGAGAATGGCGACCGGACTGGACGCACACCCGAAGAAGAGCCATTGACTCAGGGCGGGAGCGATCGCCGAGACTGGGCCAACAACTACGGCAGCTTTGGTGGGAATCTGTCTGGTGGCACGCAGAACAGCTCTGCAGCCAAAGCCAGAGCCCCGCCGTCTCTGAAGCTCCCTGGCGCAGCTCTCGATCCCGACAATGTCTCCCCACAAGTCGAAGGTGCGTCAGGCGCGTCACTGCGGAGGCAGAAGACAGTCAAGCTTCCGTCTCCTGTGGAAAACGAAAATGGCAATGACAACGCCTTCGAGATCGGAAAGACTGTCTCGCCCAATAAGCATCACAACTCGCTGCCAAACAGATACAAGAGCGTCTTCACTCCCCAGCGCATGAACTCTCTGCCAGGACCCATCACCCAGCACAAGTCGCGTCCGTCAGTACGCCGAATATTCTCGCTAAGCAATAAGACACCTCCAGATAGCCCGGGTGATGTCCCACTCGAAGCCTACCGTGATCTTGACTTCCGCCAAGCCGAGTTCTTCAACTTTCTTGATGGCGAATTGGATAAGATCGAGACGTTCTACAAGCACAAGGAAGACGAGGCTACCAAGCGTCTATCTGTCCTCCGCGACCAACTTCACATCATGCGGGACCGACGTATCGACGATGTCATCAAGCGCCAGACCGATAAGATGAACGCCAAGGCTCGCAAGAAGCATGATGGGAAATATGTCCTGAGCAACGGCCAAAATAGCAGCTCAGGTGACGAGAATCAGCAGGTCAACAGGAAGAACGGAGGCACCCTCAAAGATGCTTTCCTTAACCCCATAGATGCTGCATTAGACGCCATCAACGCGGGCAAATATGGGAAGAGCACCAAGAACATAACACAGCTTGCGACGCCAGCAGCACTCCAGCCCAAAGACCACCCCGATAGTCGCCGCGACTTTACCAGACGGCCCGAATTGCCCGATGTGCCGTATCAAACAGCGAAACGGAAGCTCAAGGTTGCACTACAAGAGTACTATCGAGGGCTGGAGCTTCTGAAGTCCTATGCGTTACTGAACCGGACTGCCTTCCGAAAGATCAACAAGAAGTACGATAAAACCGTCAACGCGCGACCGTCATCGCGTTACATGAACGAGAAGGTGAACCAAGCCTGGTTTGTGAATAGCGATGTAATCGAGGGACACATCCGAGCAACCGAGGACCTATACGCAAGATACTTCGAGAAAGGCAACCATAAAGTTGCCATCGGGAAGTTGCGCATCAAGATCGCACGAGCAGGCGATTACACAGACAACACATTCCGTAACGGTCTGCTGTTGTCAGCGGGTACCATACTTGGCATCCAGGGGCTCATCAAAGCAAGTCAGATAACGGATTTGCATGATCCTGACGGCTCCGTGCTTGCGATGAACACGAGCTATCTACTGCAGATCTACGCTGGATACTTCCTGATCAACTTTCTTCTTCTCTTGTTCTGCATGGCGTGTCGGGTCTGGCACGAGCACAAGATCAATTACGTTTTCATTTTCGAATATGATACCCGCCACCACTTGGACTGGAGGCAACTTGCAGAGGTCAGTAGTGACCATGTCTATACTGTTTCTAACACTAACCCACGACAGCTTCCTTGCTGGACTTTGTTCATGCTTGG